TGTGTGTGTGTGTGTGAGTGTAAGTGTGTGTGTGTGAGAGAGAGTGTGAATGAGTGTGTGTGTATATGTGTGAGTGAGAGAGAGAGTGTGAGTGAGTGTGTGTATATGTGTGTGTGCTTTTTGGGGTGGGTTGGGGGATATGTGTGTGCGTTTACGTGCCTGTGCATGTATGGCTCGTACATGTGACACGTGGTTACTAAAAAAGTAAAACAGACAAAAATTAAGCGTGCAAAGTTCAAGGGGTAAGTGGGAGCGCTGGTGTGGATTTCTTCTTATGTCACTATTTACTGTCGTCCTTTGCTACCCTCCGTCTTTTTTATGTTAGTGACTCTCTTGCAACTCTAATCTTCGGCACTTATATGACCTAACGTGCTGCAAGTGCGGTAAAATCTCTATCAAACCAGTCCGGTGTTGGATCAAAATTTGGCGTAATTGCCTCTTGTTTGCCCCTCAAACAACGCCCCCCCCCCCCCTGGTTAGTACAACACTCCGGAAGCCAAGACTAAGTCCGTCTTTGCTGGACCATGTTGAACAAGAATGCCGTTGCTTCGCTACGACAGGAAGTTTACTTTGCGTGGGAGGCCGAGTAGCAGGCCAAAACTCGGGAGGTTGGAGGCAATTACCATTAAACATCAAGCAAAAACTTTGGTTCCGAGCGATCAAACGACGAATTTCAATTCATATGGTAGGGCATGGTGAGGTGTGTGTTCTATAGTCCATTTTTACAATGGCAAGATAATCTCAGGGGCAGGACTTCAGATAAAAAGTCCATCTCCGATAATACTGAGCCAAGAGGGCGGAGAGGCATAAAAACGTTTTGTTTAGTTTTTAGTATTAATAAGAGTTTTACGGCACTTACAACACAAACAGGTCACAAAAGTGCTGAAGATTAAAGGTTTTTCTAGCAGTAATAAACAAATAAAAGGGAGGAGAGAAAAGGATGATAGATTTTTTTAATAGGGAAGAAGGAGCAAACCCCACCAGAGCACCCACAAACCACCCCCAATGAAAACGTTAAAAAAAATAATAATAACGTTTTTAAAAATGTTTTTAAAACCTTGAGTCTAACAACGAGCTGCCGTTAATGGGTTACAAACAGTATCAAGTACAAGGGAACAACAAATGACTGGCGTGAATTTCCATATCATTGAACATTCGGACTGTGAATTGGAAGAAAAATTATTTTATATTGCAAAAAGCGTCTTTTCCGCATGACGTCACGGTGACAAACACGTGGCCTCCACAGCGAGTGGACTAGTGGAGACACCAGATGTGTGCAATAGAGTGAAGTTCGGCAGGGGGTTCAAGTAGACTTTTACGGGTACATGTACTACAACCCTACAAAATCACTAACCACATTACAGCAAAGACAAAAGAACTAATCCCAGCCCTCATCTTTGTTTCAGGTCCCGCATCGGCAAGACGTGGACATCAGCGACGACGTAAATGCCACGCTGACACTAAAACCAAAGAACAAAGAAACATAAAAACAAACAAGTCAACGACCAGCGCACAAAGTGAACGACAGGTCACGCGGTCCACGTCAAATTTCGCCACACTGCGAGAGCCTCACAACAGTGCTGGGATCTCGCACTCTCAACGCGACCTGAGTGTCTGTGAGCTGGCTGCTCTCCCGGGGAGAGATAATCCGGTGCGCTAAACGCACGAGGTTCTCTCGGATTAATTCCGCTGCATGTGGATTATCGCAGAGCCAGGCGGCTGAAGGGGCGCTGAGGATCTTGACGCAAACGTTGGTGTTGTTATAAACAGACGGGAGAGGTCTGGTCGGAGGTCCACCGACCCATGGTTGTGAATGTGAGCCCGAGGGGAGAATTAGCAGAGCGTAAGGGTGTCCACATCAAATACAATTGGCTACTTTTAGTGGTTTTTCTCCAAAACAATTGGTCTTAAGTCTGAGTTTTCAAGACTTAAATTCGACATCTACTTTTGGTAGTATTCTGGGTTTTCTCAACTTCACAGAGACTACTACATTTAGCTGTTTTCTCATTTATGTAGATCTATGGAGGAAAACAGATTGTAGTAAGTCTTCCACTATCGGCTGATACTTCTACTGCATTTACAAAGCGGCGGTGTTTTAGCAGGCTTCTGTCAGATCAAATAACGCACTCTGGCGTTATGAACAATCTGAAAACATGGAACTATTATTATAATAATAATCGTCGGTGTTCGGCCACAAACAGCACAGACACGGTCTAGACCGACGGAGAACAGTCCGAGTACGTTAAAACAGACTATGCTGTGTGCACTTTGTGTGGCTGTATAACTAGACCGAGACGACTTAATAAACCCACTCCTTAGTGTCGAAACTCTTCACCACAGTTTCCCCAGATCAGACAACCAGCTTCGTACCTTTGAGAGGATAATTTCCGGACAATGTTTGAAAGGAAGAAAGGAGTCGAATACCTGCACCCTTGCTATTGACATGACGCACAGATACGTAACAGAGTACAATGTATACGTAAAGGTATTCAAATTCACAGAATAGCACAAGGCCATAAGAAATACTCGTGCGGTTTGAAGTGAGAAGCAGAATGTTTTAGACTTATTCTCGATCAGAACCGAACCAGCAATCCACCATTCACATCTCGGGGCCGTTCACCGTCAAGATGAACAAACACACGCTCAACTACCACACCCGCCTGCACGACTGGTACCGTCAGCACAGCATCCAACAGGAGAAACAGCAACAGCAGCAGAGTCTCCAGCAGGAGTTGGGCGGCGGTCTGGGCCATGGCGGAGTCCACGCTAGCACTCACAGTCTGGCCGTGGTGGCTCCAGCTTGTGGCACAAGCGCAGACCATGCGGCGGCCGGCGCCCATCTGAGCCAGGACAAGCTATACTTCATCAGCCAGTGGTGCTCCGAGGTCAACAAGACGCTCTTTCGTGTCAAGAGAAAAGAATCGCCGCCGCTGTACCGCCGTTGCCGGCTGGGTGGAGCGTCTTCCAAAGACCTCACTGCTTCTGGAGTGGGACTTTCAGGCGGTAAATCTACAGCGGATCCCAGAAGGGTGCGCTCTGCTGAAGTGTTCACTCTTGCAGGGCATTGGTCGAAACAGCCAAAACCTACGTTGAGCGGCGGGGAACTGTTACCTACCTCCAGCCAAGTAAAAATCGGAGGCGGCCGTGGGGGTGACTACAACAAAAGAGACCCTGCCAATCATGTGGGCGACTCCCGCGGAGTGGATCTGTGCGTGAGGAACTCCAAAGACAAAGACTGTCAACATGAGCCGCCCATGGCGAGAATCAACCATGACTCGCTCAACGTGAGGTCAAACGCGTTCATTCTGCGGCACCAGTACAACAACGGCCGGTACAGCAGGCCCGGGGGTGCCGGGCTCGTCAACGCTGTGCTATCCCCGAGAAGCAGCGCCACACAGCTAGAAAAGTTAGACAAAGAACAACGTGGGCTTCTCTACAACAACGACCTGCCGTCCGCGCGTCGCCGCGCGAAGAGCGCCGCCATGCATAGCACGCGCAGAAGACTTCACGGCATGGATGAGGAACAGGACGAAGAGGAGGAGGAGGAAGGTGAAAGGGATTACAGCAGAACAAACGGGGCGGCAAAGAGTGGAGAAGAGTCACACAGCAGCCACAAAGAGCTGGAGCGTCTGAACAATGCCAAAAATGAGGAGGACAGTCTCCGCCAGCAGAACCTCCGACCGGTTAGTTCAAGTCACAAGAGTCGTGTTGCGTCCTCCAAGACCAAAGCTTCCAGTATGTCAGACCTGTATGAGGAGGGGGAGGATGGTAACAGCACACTAGTCAGGAAGATCATTAACGTCGTGGTCACGGACGAGGCAAACGTTAATCCACAGCTGTGCAACGACTGTAACCAGAACTTGGCCGACAAAGCCGCAAAAGAGGCGGCTGAGAACGAGGAAACTGTGCGGAAAATTCTAAACGAAGAACTAGAGCGCACAAAAAGACTAGCAGAAACTGAAAAGCAAATTGACCAAGAAATCACCAAAGCCGAGGTAAACGTCAAACACGTTACCAACAGGCTCACTGAAGACTCCCTCCACTACAGCTCAGAGAGAGAAGCTCTCAGGCTCGTCAACGCTAACAAGAGCTTCACGATTCCAAACAATTTTGATGATCTCGAAGATGAGAGAAACATCAGTTTTGAGGACATCAATGGAGACGAGGACAAGATGTCCGAAGAAGTCAGTGATGACGCGCACAGTGACATTAACAGTGATGCATCATCACCTATAAAAGTCACTGCAGCAAGAAGAAAAAGTTTGGTCAGGATCAAAATTGAAAATGTGGACGATGAAAACAATGCTTCTAAAGAGGAAAGCAACACAGAAAACCAACAGCCAGCTGTTGTGAAGGACAGCAGGTCTCTCTCTGTCTCAGAATCCGATCAAATGGAAGCCCCTGACGTTGAGATGCTTAAAATAATACAGGAGCGGCGTGGCAGCCGGCGTAAATCCCTCAGCTTTGGCATCAAGCCAACCGTGGGCAACCTGTCCACATCCAACAGCCTCCTACACGTGCTCTCCATCGACGACTGCAAGATGTCCATGCGCTACAGCCCACACAAGATCCTGGAGGAGCACGAAGTCACAGACAGCCTCATGCTGCCTCTCAGCCAGATACTTACATCGGAGTACTTGAACTCCTCCCCTGAAAACAGCCCCAGAGAGACAGGAAAGGGCAACAAATATAATGATAATAACAACAATAACAACGGAGTAGTGGACAGTGCTCGTGCCTACGGCAGTAAAGCAGCCATGCGTGTGAGTGGCCAGGACTCCGGGATGACAACTCTGCGTACAGCATCCGCTCATCACGCCACCAAAACCAACAAGATGCAGTATCGGATCCTAACTGACCCCAATGACCCCGGCTACTACAAAAACATGCGCCCACAGTCAGCCTGCTTAGCCAAAGCCTTCAATACGCTCATCAATGACCGTACCATCATGCAGCGCCTGGGCGACCGGCCCGGCACAGCCTCGAATGCTAACAATGGGCGCAACAGGATAAGGAGCGCATCAACCAAATCCTTAACTGCGTCTGCTACTGGTAGCAAGCCGGCCTACGAAGGTCCGGTGTACCAGCGCGCAAACACAGTTCTCAAGAAACAGATGGAGGCGTTGCTGCAGCGACACAGCAGCCAGATGAAGGCACGCTACGAGCGGCTCAAGAACAACCCCACACCACACAAGAAGCCTCTCGTGCTCACCCTTGGCGTGCCGTCACTCAATGAGGAGGTCTCGGAAAAAAGTTTATCGCTTGAATCTCTGCCCCTGGTGAAAAAAGGCATTCTCAAAGACAGTCGAGAGTCACTGCTCAAGGGCAGCAGTGAATCCTTAAACAAGTAGAAGAAAGAAGATGCTTAATATGTTTTAATTATATTTACATATATAGATATCTAGCACTTGAAACAATTAAACTCCCTAAAGTATTTTCTGAACCAATCTAACCAGGAGAAACGTTTTCTCTGAAGGGCGCAAAATTGGATGAATTTTCACGAGAGACCCTGGACGTTTGTACATGAGCATTAAAACAATTGACAAATATATACTTTATTAATGTAACAAAATAAAGTGACCATGAAACCCAAGGATAACCTTTCTTGCTCGTGTACTGTGATCTAAACTGGAATGAACACACTCAAAGCATCAAGACCGAAAGAAACAAGTCTCCAGTTGACAGTAAAAGGACCAGGTGTAAGACTGATTGCGCGTAATCTATAATACATTCCTCATACAACGACGATAATAATCACAGCTGGTCAAAGTGTTGACTGTAACATTGTGTTGTATCAACTTTGTCTTTCAACCACAGATCGCGTGCTCTTCCTTCGTAGAAAAGTTCACTCAGAATTGCAGCAGAAGACGAGATTTTCCTTTAAATCTAAGAGAAGACAAGCACTCTCAATATGACAACACAGTGCAGAGAAACCTTCAGTCATCAGATGGAAAAAAGAGAAGGAGGATGAGCAAAACATCAGCTTGCATACTTAAAAGGACCTATGTTGTGTATGTAATTGATTATGGGACTGACAATGTGGATAAAAGCTTTAAAGGAAGGATGAAGAAAAATGTGATGAGTGCAATAAATAAATTATTCTTAAAAGGTGACTTTGTTAATTATGTTAAAATTTATATTTTTCATCAAGCCCATCTACCATACCTGCTGTAATTATTTTTCCTCTTCAAACACAAGAACACACACACACACACACTTAGCACACACAATTAACTCTAACACTCTATAAAATCCCAGAAATCGGATGAAAAACAAAAGATTACACACTTACAAAAGCTGTTGGTAAAATTATATCGAACAAGGTTGACATGCAGCCCTTTTTTACTCAAACTTCATAGTGTTACAAACAGAAACACAAAGCAAATTATATATGTACACACACACTAATGCCATTCATTCAGATTACTCCCGGTGTTCAACGGCTTTTTCCTTATTAGCATAGCTGTATAAGGAGCTTTGGACTCCATTAGAATTTCATATTAGAACTTTATCTATGCATAATGCAAAAATGTATGCATATCTAAAAAAATGTAACTTATCTTTAATAGTCTTGGAAACCCCAGGGCTATACATACATTTACGTACTGGAGGAAACAACTTTCTACATATATTAGTGATAATATTAATAATACTACAGAATTTATAGCTGTTTCAGCCTAAATATATGCAGTCTTCTGAGGCCTATAACAAAGATTAATCTTATCTCATGAACAGTAAATCTTGACTTCCAGCAGATCATGTCATCAACAGAGCATACGATACAAATTATGAATACTGCCAGTGGTATCCTTCAGTACATAATGACAGCAGCAGCTCTTACACAGAGATCACAAACCCCCACTCATATTCAACAAACCTAATAAACTTTTCCATTACAAAAACAGGGATACAAATCCACAGAAAAACAACTCACAATTTTTCTATTACCTTAAAGAACCTACCACATTTTTTTTTACATTTCTAAATGCCTTACAGCTCAATCCTAGGTTCAAAGACTACATCACTACACCATAAGCTGAAACTATATTCAAGATAAATATTAACCAAACCCAAGATATTGGAAATGATAATTTGAGCCAATACCACAACAAAGGAAACTCAGAAAGATCAATCAACAGTGTATTTTGTAACTGCTACGTGTGGAGGCACTTGCAACTCGTCTTTGAGGTTACCTGTGTAGCATGTACTTTGTGATGATTATTTTGAGGAAGGAAATAGTAAAGAGATAGCAAAAAAGACAAGTTCTAAACATTTCCATATACCTGCAATTTGTGTTTTTTTATACAAACTTTATATAGCGCCTAACCAAACATACTTGCAGTTATGAGTGACCCAGGAGTCAAACATTAGGTGACTTCTCCTTTAAAGTTTGGGGACATCCTCCCATATGGAGAGGGAGTTCTGACACGACACACTAGCAGAGGGGTGCAAACCCAAGAAAGGTCAAAAGTCTCATGGCAATGTTATGACACCTATAAAGACACTTTTCCAGCCAAAACTCTTTAAAAAGTGAGCCTGCCTTGGAAAAAGTTAGAATCAATCCCTTTCAATATTGAAGAAAATAATTGAGGAAATAATAATAACAAAATACCAAATATCATTTGTATAGCGCATACTTCCATTCAACAGCAAGCTTTATAATATATGTGCTTTACAATCTATATCATTACCCCAGCAGATCCAAGAACACTCAGAAACATTCTCAGTTTCCCAGGTTAAATACAATGCATGCGGTCCATTAAGCACTCAAACATCAATAAACTGACAAGACTGTCTTTTGCTAGATACCCATTCCCATCTGGATGAAGTGAAGAAAATTCATGTCAAATGCCCTCCCAGTAAATAACTATCTGAAAAACACACTGTCTTTTGATAGGAAAATTGAGACCTATACATAAAACCTGTTGGACTGCAGCTGGAAGAAGCAGCAGTCAACAGTCCCTGAGACTTAGCCCAAGGAATGCAGGAGAAGTTCAGCAGCAAAAAGGATTTTACAAATGTCTAAGCGGAGGGAAACAAATACAGCATGCAATGACAAAGACAAAGCTATTCTTAAATCAGGTAATTTTTCCATGTCTATGAGATGGTGAATAGTTTTGATTATTTATAAGGCCTGTAAATTATTTTCTTAAAATATTGATGACTGTGCTGCCACCCCACCAAAATCAGGGGATGGGGGCTCTCGTGGCCTACAGGTTAAGGTATTTGCCTCTCATTCAAAGGTCCCGAGTTCGAATCTGGGTAGCGACGGAAAAGTTTTCTTCTCTAAAATTGTCTCCTTTCACCTCCTTTCCTGCTCTCTAGCAATGCTCTGTCATCTGCTTTCGTCTTCTCTTTCTGCCCCCACTCCCTAACCTTTGGGCTCCTGACTCTTTTTCTACAGCCTTTCTACTGCTACTCCTTGGCTCCTTCTTACTGCTGTCTTCCACACCCCTGATCTTATGGTAGGAAAGATCTACACCTGGCCTTCTCGGACAAGGGCAATAAATCTCGGAGGTCCCATGTGCACGTTTAAGATCCCTTGGTGGTCTAAAATCGATAAGAGTAGGCTTCGGCCGCCACCCGGACCAAATTCAAAATTTCCTACCAACTGAAAATGTTTAATGTTTTCCGTGCGCTCATATGACCTTACGCAGTTGAGAGCACTGTAAAACACTTACAAAAAATCAAAAAACAAAACAAAAAAACTCAGGGGGTGTGTACATATAAATCAATAGAAACAACCTTTAAACAACAAATAAAACTGCAAGAATCCCAAAGGAGGTGCAACCTTCCAATAGTAAAACAATACACAGAAAAACTTCTGCTCTGTTGCACAAGTGTGATGTTTACTGTAATCAGTGCTTCTAATATAGACATAGCGTAAAAGTAAAGAAAATTCTATTCTGGGGGGGGTCTGAGTGTTAACATTTGTCTTTTTAGAGTTGAAAATGACATTTGAGAGTCGGTTTAAACAGACTGCCAACCATCCATAATATCTCATTTTTCACCAAGAGTTTATCTTGTTTCAGGATGTGTGAATTTGTGTAAAAATACGGAAACATAGAAGCATTTATAAAGCGTATTTTCTCAATTTTCCCCACCCCCTTCATCTGAACTTGAAATACAAAGCCTTGAGCTAAACCTCATTTAAAAAAACAAACCAAATAGACAAGACCACAGCCTCAGGGTCACAACTCACCTGGCCTAGAGTGTCCTGTGTGGCCACAATCAGCTTGAGCTTGTAGTGACAGTATGGGTGCAGGAACATTTCCAGATGGGGCTCGGAGGCGTCCAGTTGCCAGTCATAGTCAGCTGGTCTACCAGACTGTAGCTTCACTGGTATGCTGAGTTCTTTGCCATAGCTTAGGCAAAAAGAGAAACAGAGGGAGAGAAAAAAACTACTTTTACCCATCTGAGCTAAAATTCTGTAAACAAAAGTGTACAATCATTTTCAATACTCTGCACAAATCAAACTGATAACAATTCACATATATATATATATATATATATATACTAACACCATTGCCCATTACCACATCCTATCTCCCCATTTAAGGCCAAGCTCAAAACTTCTTACTAAAGGATACATCCAAGAGACCAACCATCAAAAAGCTGTCCAACTGACATCACTAAACCTTAAAAGACATCATATTTCAGAATATTTCACCTCTTCACACACCCCCACCCACCCCCCAAATACCTCAGCAAGACGAGCTGACTTCTATTGTACAACTTGAACTGATGTAAAAAATTATAATAGACAACATCGTCATGGGCAATCTGCTGAACAGGAAAGAACAAAATCTTAATAGACAGTTATCTTAAAGGAAAAAGGAAAAAACGTTTTTTAATCGAACATAGCTCCGAAAATACAGAAAATGATATCTGCAAAATTCTTACCCAGAAAACACATATGACTCTTCTTTGCTCCAAGGTATGTTCAGTCTCAGGATGCTGCCCTCAAACCCTTCTGTAAAAGCAGGTATATAAATTAAATTCCTCAAAATATTTATACATAACAATACACTTTTGTGAACAAGTATATAAAAACATTTCTGTGCATAATTAAATAATCACATTTTTTTCAATGCAGCTATATGCATGTCCAAGCACGCAGCATTAGACATCACTATATTTTTCAACTAAAAAAAAAAAAAGTTACGTTTTTTTTACAAGAATGAAAAACCTAGAATGCTGGTGATGGAGAATTCAAATAAGAGAATGACAAAACACACTTCCAGAATTTTGAGGGTGTCCCCAAGGGGACCAGTATCAATGAGGGGAACAAACTGTGTCATTTATTTAGTCTTTGGTTGAATAGAACAAAACAAAACAAAAAACCACAGGTAGCTACATCCTCTCCCTGACACACTTCAAGAATAAGAAGTAAGATTACATAGAAAGTTAGAGTAATCCAGGAAATGACTCAAATAAGTATAGCTAAACTCACCAGCATTGTGTCTTCTGCAGCCCATTGGCATGACTAGGGCCCTATAAGTGTTTGTAGGAAGAGACAAGCCAGCAAGATGCAAGCTGTAAAAAGCAGACCCATTTGAGATTTTGAGCATTGCAGCGCCATCTGTCGCAGACACTGGGTATGAGATTATGGTATCATAAATGTTTGGCATCTGAAAGACCAGGTGACGTTCATCACTGTTGTAGCGATCGCTTACGATGTCCACCTTTGTTGTCATGGAAGAGAGAAAAAAAATAATCAGTGATGGATATTCATTAAATTGTTTACAAAAAAGTGGTCGCTTTTAAGGACAAGCGGCCTAACCCACACTTCAGGCGTTTCCAGAAATCTTGACCTACACCAAAAGCGGGCATTGCCCTACCGATAGGAGAAGTTTGGTTTCATTGGTATGTATATTTGTTTGGTTTGATTAGAGAGAAAACTCTTCTTGTCTTTTAAAGCAACTTAACACAGGGCAAAAACTTTACCTTCAATCTTCTCAAAACAGCATTTTTCGGGATAGCCCCCTTGTGCGTAAAAGCAACCAACTAGCACCCATATCTGCTTTTGTTGCCATTTTTTTGTCCAACAGTTGCCAAAAGTTGCCACAAAAAATCGCAAAAGTTGCCATTAATTTTCAAGCTTTCAACTCTATGTGACGACATATATGGCAATATGTTGACAGAGGTAACTTAAGGTAAGGAACCAAAATTTCTTGTGCTCTGTTTTAAGCATCCAGATTATTATTTGTAGCCACACAGAGTGTATATACGTGAAAAATAAAGGATTCACAACAGAATTAAATCAAAATTAGAACAGCATATAAAAACTGCAAAAATTTAGCAAATTTTAATAAGGGCGTGAGTCCACATATCTGAAGATTGGCCGTTTTCACCCTTACCATGTGTAATTCAAGAAAACGTGCAGAATATTACATGAAAATTATGGAATCACACACAAGGGGCATGCCAGGGTCAATATGCTTTTGCTTGCATTTTCAGCTACATAAACAACCAATTTTCCTCTGAAGTAAAATATCTTAAAGCAAGGTAAGAGGCAAGTAACCAAATGACAATTCCATGCTGCCAATAAATAAATGTCAAGAAATGAGTGAAACCTTGTCAAAAAAATTTGATACCTGAAATCCCCTTCTCAAAATATAGGAAAAACAGTCAATTAACAATAGAAACAGGTCCTTATACACATATTTTTGCATATAGACTTAGTAGCACTTTCACTATAGGGCAACAGAAAAAAAGAATATTTCATCTTCTCAAATTTACCTTTCTTTGTCCAGACGGCACAATTATGACAATGTGTGAACGTGGAGTCAATTCAATGTCTTTGAACGCAATCCTCAAATACTGCAGATGAACAAAAGAAGCAGTGCAATCATTAGATGCTGTTGTTAAATTCATGGTTTAAAATTTATTTTCTTTCAGCACAAGCTAAAAAATGATACCAAAGTCAATAAAGAAACTCAAAACATTTTTAGAATACAGAAATAGTAAACATGGTTCATTCTTAAAGCATAATCACAACTTAATATCAAGTGAAGAATCCCATAATGTTTCTTTCATAGCATAATACTAACTCACTTTTTGACTTTATTTTAGGAGAACAACTAATGAGACAACTGCAGTGGAGCATTTGTGGAAAGTATGGCAGCCACATATATACAAGGCCAGCTTATACACATCCATGAAAAAAAAACTGTATCAAAACCTTGAGTAGAGCAAACTTCCTAAGGAGAACAGTACAAGACATTTGTATTTACGACTTCTGGTCAGAATTTTCAGATTAGAAAAGCTTCATGACTTACTCGAGTGTTAGAATAAAGTGGAGGTAAGAACCTGCTGCGGCTGGACAAACTTGTACATGTAGAGCTGAAACAACACAAAGCAGAAATAAAGTGAGAACATTATTAAGAAGAATAAAACCATGACAGTGACATTTGGGTATTCATTGTACTATGTTGCCATTCCTCTGTCTAGAAATTAACAGACTGAATAGATAATCTTATAGAACAGCAGTAATATTAGTTCAGTGATATGTATTAGAACTCTTTATTGCTTCATAAAAAGTGTTTCTGAAAACTATACTCCATCTGCCATTCAATCATAAGCGCATGTTGCAGTGACGTGCATGACTACGAGTCTAGCAAGGTGTACATCAAAGCCTGAGACAATATCTGAAGACAGGCAGTGTATATATTCAACATCGACAGGACTATGTCCTAGAGCCAAAGTATAGATGTACAGTACAAAGAAAAAACATTAAAGAACTGCTTTTTGTTTCTCTGGCCCCGATGGACTGTCAGGTAGCCACTCTTCCTTTTATTTCTTTTCTGAAAAGTAAAACATCATGATCAAAGATTGAAGTGAAAAGACGATGGAAAGGCGACGTGACTCAGATAAGTAAAATCAGTATATTAACTTGTTTTGAATTTTAAACAAACATTCAATTCTAATAATTGAAAGAAAATGCAAAGACTTTAATTCCTTTACATCAAAGAAAAAAATAAGAAACAAAGAGTGGAATACACACAGACAAACAAAAATAGTTATTTTCATATTCTTAAACCACCAAATCCCCTTTGTAGCTTCCTTCTTCATTCACCATTTCTGTTCTCCCTCTGGAAAGTCACAGTAGCAAATCCATTCAGGGTTGGTCTGTAAAATAAGACATGAAAATTATAACAAATGAAAGTCAAATATATTCACATTTCTTCAATTGACAGCAACTAATGTTCTTAATAAACAAAAAAATCTCGAAAGTGCTCAGAATATTTTGAAGAATTATTCTTGCCAAGAAGCAATAATAAAAATGAACATGGGACAGATCTTCATCCGTAACTATAAAGCGACTCCCCCCCCCCCCCCCCCCCCGACACAAGAAAGTAAACTAAGACACATCTTTACTTCATCCCACAAAACACTGAATTTTTTTTAAAATGCTGATCAAACCTCAGTTCATCCAAGTCTTATTAACAACAGCAAAATTACACAGATCAGCTTCAACTTTAAATATAATATCGTTATTTTTAGAAAGCTTTCAACAAAGTAGAGAAACAAGCTATCTAAAAATAGATTCATTACCAAATTAGTCTGGATAATAATTGAATCTGATCTTTCCTCAACCACCAAGGGAATTGAGAAGTATTGCGGGGCAGTGGTCTGAAATAGTAAAACAAATATTCAGAGAAAAGACAAATATTCAGCATCAATCCTTTAATGGGGAAGATATACATAAATACTTATAACAAAGTGGGACTTTGACACATAAAACATTTCAAATAATACAAAGTATGAAAGTTAAATAAAAAGGAAAAATATGTGGCTTAACCCTTAGAGCCCTTGCCATTGGTACACCGCTGGCGCATAAACCTGTCCGTATGCCTAGCCACCGGTACACTGGTGAACGAGACCTCACCCCTAACATGGCCCGCCTGAGACAAAATACTTACGGAAAACTGTGTTTACAACACAAGATTATTGATTTTTTAAAAGATCTTTCTGAATTAGATGCTGGTAGTGACAAGGACTACCCTGAATAGGATTTGAAATGTGATTCTGGCGATCATATGAATGTTAGTAATATATCTCTCAGGAGCTCAGGCAGAGGGGCACGGTAGCCCCAGGGGGTCAGGGCTCAAAGAGTTAAATTAATTCTTTATATCAGCCAATAGTAGAAAAACAATAGGAAAGTAGCAGAACAATATCTCGCTACTGATACAAGCTTTTCAACTATTAATCTAATATAAATGAAGAAGGTATCACAAGCTACTTATTTTCTTCAAATGCTTGTAATGACAAAAAGTGCTGATATACAAACCTAAATAACAGTATTTTATCATACTTGTTTGTGTTAACAATGAAACAATGTTGCCTGGATCTCAAAAAACCTAACTCTAGCTCTAGAAATGAATTACGACAGTCAATTTAAAGAATCAGATAGTTTGTGAGTCATAGTTTTTCACGGTACAAGAAAAAAATGCACAAAGCATAATACTGAAATTGCAGTAGAGAACTGTACACAATGAAAAAGTTTCATTGAAATAGCATACAAGGATGACCAAGATAATATCCAGTCTTTCATAATATCCTTACACCATATCTTGTATGCATATACAACAAAGGCAATAAAATGTCAACTAAAGACAAATGTAAACCAGCCATGTACCTTTGCAACACTGAATTTCCACGTCTTTTCATCTCGGTATGTCCACTGAATCTTGGAATCTAGGGTGATAGTCTTGTTCTCATTGTAAGACTGGTAGTCTGGGAGTCCATTGTTGTTGAGGAAATGGTGCTGAAAAGCTTTCATCCTCACCTCAGTATCTTCTGATACCTATTCAAAAAATACAGAAATACTTCTGATTGCAGTTATACACACAAACACACATACAAGTACGTAGCCAATATTATACATGATTCCTGTCAACAAAATTTCAGTGTGGCACTGGAGTCCTGTGTGACTTACGTATTTCATTCTGTGCTTACTTGTTATATATTTTCTTATTTGTATTTTCCCCTCATCATTTTATATATACATATTAAACTATAATATATTATAAAAATGAATCCTGCTTTGAGCCTGTGAAAGGGCCTAGAACCAGAAAATCAACTGTCAAGAATGAGTCTTGCTGTCATAATTCATATTATAAAAGTGAAAGACAAAAATTATTGCTCAAACTCAAAGTAGAGTGAAAACTTGAATGGCTCAAGCAGACCTATTCAGTGCGAGAGTTGTAAAAACTGAGAGAGGTCAAGATGCAGTGACACTGGAAATCTGCCAATCTAGAAGAGAAAGCTAAAATATAGTTATAATTCACTATCACCCATCCAATGAAACACGTACACTTTAGTTCAATAGCAAGGCTTACAAGGTATGACAGATCACGATTCCACACACGGCCGGCACCAAAGCATGCTTTGTAGAGAGCTTTAATTTTTTTTTAAATTATAAAATCAGCTTCCAAGTTTTTTGTCCTCTGGTGTTGCCTTCCGACTATCCCCACTGAGAGCTATCTTTTTTTTTTAAAAATCAATAGGGGATCAAGGACTGGTGATGGGTCTCATTTAAACATTGAGAAATGCCTAAGCGTCTCAAACAGCTTCTCCCAATCCAGCCAACCGTACCTGCTCGTGGTGGTCTCTGTTTCCACTGACACGGCTCTGGCAAGTGGCGAGTTGTTGGTGCCAACAACAACCCCCCCCCCCCCCGTTTCCTAGACGGGTTAAAACAACAGGACAGGAGCAGGTGTGGCCCCACAAGGTGCAGGAGGCAGAACCCACCGATGCATGGTAGACGCTATGCTCATCACTAACACACCCCTACTCTCCCTTGAGTGGGTGTCTAATCTGCCTAACACCCCTACTGCTTTTTATCAACACACCCTCTGTGGCTGGGAAGGAACCAGCCAGTTTGAGGTCTGGATGCAAGGATGGATCGAGCAGAATGCCTGACTTGCCTTCTGACCGTGGACCTCTTAGTAAAGGCACAACGACCCAGGACGTGATGATCCAATGGCTTTCTCACTTGGCCGAAACCTCATGCAAGAGTAGACAACTATAGCCAGTAACCATTGGGTGTGGGGAATGGGCAGCGTGAACCCTACTGGAATCACACGGTCACAGGGCAGTTAGGTATTCCAGCCTCATGAAAACCCTTGTACCCTCCTGTCCCCAATGTGCATGGCCCCTTCTCAGGGTGGGCAGGCAGTCCACAGACACCCCAGTCCACAATGCCATGACACAAAGAAATAAATTACATGCAAGCTCGGACATCGCCTCGTTAAACAAGGTCCGCGCCAGGCAGCGCAATCACCGGGCTGCTCTGAGCGACAAGTCAGTTACTGGTGATACACACAGAAACAGTGCTAAACCAGCACGGAAAAGCTCTCGGCGGAAGAGAGCCAATTACATCCCCAACCAGAAGAAAAGTTCTCTCAACCTCTTGCAACTCAACATCTGTGGTTTGCGAAAAAAGAAAACAGAACTCATCAAAGTCCTGAAGGACAGGCAGATTCATGTTGCCCTCCTTCAAGAAACCCTACACAAAGGTACGGACGTGAACCTCACAGGATACACCAGTTACGCCTGCACATGCACAGGATGCAGCTGTGTAGTCACTTACCTGCGAAACGATGTTCAGGGAGATGTCGTACACTTGCCATCTGCCCAACCAACAGATATCCAGAAGGCCACCATATGGCACATTGGTAGAAAGTATACAATTTACAATGTTTACAGCCTTCCACAGACAACATGTGACTTGTCTGATCTACAAGCAACCAACTACGAAAAAACCATTTGTGCGGGTGACTTCAATGGCCACTCCCCTGAATGGGGCTACACCAGCTACAACAGCACTGGCCAAAAGATAGAAGAGCTTTGTGAAACCAGCAACCTATCTGTGTTGCAAAATGTTAACTCCACTCCTACCCCACTTCACAGAGCCCACTTGACTCTCAGTCAGCCTGATCTCACCATCTGCTCATCTGACATAAAAAACTCCTGTCGCATCAAAGTGATCGATGACATAGGAAGTGACCACAGACCTATCTTTACACAGATCACCTTCCCACCTGCTTTGAACCACCCTCGGAGAACTCGATGGAAGTTTAAGAAAGTCAACTGGGCAGAGTACAAAAAGACCACTGACAAATTTCTCTCTAGCATAGTAGAAACAGATGATGCTCATCTTTTTAATGAACAAGGCACTAAAAATATTCTTAAAGCTGCATCTCAGCATATTCCACGGGTATGCCGAAGAAATTACAAACCCTTTTGGAATGAAGAAATCCAGGCTGCTGTGGCAGAAAGAGAGAAGGCCAGACAGTTACTGGAAAACTCACTGTCACAGATAACCAGAACACACTATAACAAGACCTGCGCTCAGGTGAAAATGACAGAAAAGCCAAAATGAAAAATGGACTCAAGACTTGTGAAGATCTTGACCTTCATCACAATGGAACAAAAGCTTGGTCCCTTGTTCAGCAACCTCTCGGGAGAAAGACAAAAAAGCAACCCCAAACCTATTTTCCTTTCAGGCAACACCATCACAGAAGACCAGAAGAAAGCCAAACATTTTAACCGGTATTTCGCCTCTGTAAACAGGTCAAGTAGACTAACTGAGGCTGATAGACTCCTCATAAACCAGGCTAAGCACAAAGAAAAAGCCCCTACTGCGATGGAACTTGGAAAGGCCCTAAATAAATTAAAGCAAAAGAAAGCCCCAGGACCAGACAAAATAAATAACAAAATGCTGTGCAACCTTGATGCTAAAGGAAAAGATGTTATAAGCTGCTTAGTAAATACCACGTGGAGAACGAGCGGAATACCAAAGGCATGGAGGATCGCCCAGATCATACCGCTCCTGAAGAAGGGGAAACCACCTGGAGAAGCGAAGAGCTACCGACCTATATCACTAACATCATGTATCGGTAAGCTTGCCGAAAGAATGGTGAACAACCGCCTTTACTGGTACCTGGAAAACACCAACAGCTTGAACCCACACAAAGCAGGCTTTAGAAAAGGCAGCAACACAGAAGACATCCAGGATGGTTTTCAGGAGACTAAACACACTGTCGCCATCTTTGTAGATCTCCAACAGGCGTACGACAGAGCGTGGGGAAAAGGCCTACTCATGAAAATGATGGACCTCGGGATACACAGGAAACTTTATAAATGGATCAAGTTTTTCCTAGCGGATCGAAACATCGAAACAAAGGTGAACTATGCCCACTCATCAAGAGAAGTACTCGAGGAAGGTCTACCACAAGGTTCCTGTCTGAGTCGCACTTTGTTCCTGATCTTCTTTAATGATGTGACGAACGTGCTGAAGTCAGAAAAGACTCTACGCTGATGATCTTGCTCTCTGGCAGACGCACCACAGCACGGTAGTAGGAGCAGGAAAATTAAATGAAGACCTCAAGAGGCTCCACAATTACTGTCAGAAATGGAAACTCAAAATAATCTGTACGAAAACAGTATACACCATCTTTACAAAGAGCCATAAAACAGCCACAGAAAAACTCCAACTGAAGATAGGAAATGAAAATCTCCCCAAAAAAGAACAACCAACGTACCTAGGAGTCAAACTTGACCAAAGTCTAACAATGAAAAGCCAAGTGGAGAGCATAAAGAACAAGGCGAAAAGAAGACTCCAACTTATAAAGAAACTCGCAAGCAGTTCATGGGGATCAGACAAATAAACTTTGAGAGCCCTATACCTTGGTTATGTCCGATCTTCCCTGGAATACAGCAACAATCTACTCACTATGTGTAGTGCTACTACTTGCAATAACCTTGACAAGGTCCAAAATAATGCCCTTCGTTTCATAAACAGTGGCCTGAGATCTACACCTACAGCCGCATGTGAAATTCTTTCAAATGTCGAACCCCTGGGAATTCGCAGAGATAAAGCAGTTTTGGAGCTCCATGAAAGAACCAAAAGAAAGTGCCCCAACCACCCAAACAGGAAATTAGTAGAAACATGGAAACCAAAGAAACGACTTCAACAAAAATCAATCATGCATTGCATCACAGAACTAATGGAGAGCCACTATCTACCACAAAATAGAAGAGAAACTAAAAGAGTCAACCAAAACATCCCTCCCACATTTCTATGGAAAACCAATCATTACAACATCTCTCAGAGACAATAGCACAAAATCTTCAGACCCAGTGAAGTTGATGCTTGCATCACATTAAACAATTGACAGCTATTCAGATGACTGGATACACGTCTATGCATTCAAAGGCACAACCAAAGCCGGATATGGAATACTAATACAGTACCCATATGGAAGTTCCAATGAGATCTCCGCAGCCTGTGGAGAGAAATGCAACAACTACGATGCAGAAATAATAGCAAATGAAACAGCACTATCCATCTCCGCACAGTTTTTAACACTCATCCAATTTTTTAAAAAAGAGTATAGTGATCTTCACTGACTCACTATCAGTCTTGCAAGCAATAGAAAATGACCATCATCTAAACGAAGACTTCACACAAAAACTGTTTGGCTCCCATCACCTGATAATATTCCAGGACACTCAAACATACCGGGAAATGACCGAGCAGACACACTTGCCAAAAAGGGATCTAGACAGGAACAACCCAACATTCCAACATCATACAACACTGCAAAACAAATCATTAAAAGAAACAGCAAACAAAATTCGACGAACAGATGGGCCTTGGGAAAGACAGGCAGAGCAGTTTTCAAACATATGACTACAACAAAACAAAATAATAATATCAACCACCTACAGAGAAAGAAACAGACCACGATCTTTCACCTACAAACAGAACATATACAGCTCAACTTTCACTTGAACAGAATAAAACCATAACTTCCCCAAATGTGTCCTTTGTGTGACTATGCATATGAGACAGTGGAACATCACCTTTTCCACTGCACAGCCCTAGATGACATCAGAGCTGCACTTCTCCCTCCAAGACCTAACTTTGACAATACACTCTATGGAACATTACAGCAACTGAAGCAAACCTGCACTTATCACTACATGGCATTGGACAGAAGGGCGAGAGCCCAGATGTAGCTGGATCGATAACAACAACAACAACAAAAAATCAATAATATAATTCTCTCCCAAGTCCTATGCTTCCAAACGCTCGGACTTTGAATGAACTTTGGCGACCCCAACTACCGCCGGTACTCACATGATGCCATACCATGTGACACGAACGCACGCAGGTTCACTGACCCTCACGACAACAAGTCAGACAATCAGACGGCGCTTTTCTTTTCTTTCTTCACAAGTGACACAGAGACAAAATATTGATTTATTTCCATGGCAACACAGCGTTTATAGTGCACAACCTGCATGTCACAAATGTTGCGTTATCAGACTATCACCGGCCAAGCTCTGGGTGGTATCGAAAGCGAAAATAGATCTTGATATTCCCGATGGAGCCACTGTGTCACACACTTCCGCATGCCGCCATAGCCGCCTGTTCCCGCAAAACGTACTGTCGGACCGGGAAAGCCAATTTACAGATTTCCTCAAATTCCTGGGTCTCAGCGATTTTTATCAAATTCCCAGGATCTGGCTAGTCAACCTGTTTTTACTAGGTATCTAGTTTCTGACTCGTTTTCTTTGGCTATTCGAATGTTTTGAATAATAGGTACCAATTTATTCGGGGGGTTATAAATAGTACCCAGCCCTACGGAAAGTACTGGTGAAGGCCATCGGCAGATAGGGTTGTTGGGGTTTTTTTTATTGGAAATTTGTCGCACGCCGACAAAATAAAAGACTGTCATGTCACCAGCTATGGAAGACTTGCCCAGCTGGTGCAGCCGGAGAGAGGCCTGCGGATGAGTTCAAGTAGCCGGCAATTCTGGCAGGAGCCGGAAAACTTTCAACCTTGTGTAACTTGACACTCAAAAGTAATTTCAAAGCCAGTTTAGCCAGTGCACTATGTGCAGAGGACTGAGCAAAGAAGAACTTAGATGGCCAGAATTGTACATGGGAGTAAAAATCACACATTTAACATTCATGCATAGAGTGTGCATAAAGCATCAGGGGAATGGCAGCACACACATTAAAACAAATTAATATTGATAAAAAATTATAGTGACATTAAAAACACAGTACGAACCTGCAGCGTTTTTTCATCAACAATATCAAAGAGTGCTCTCTTTGTAAGTAGTACCATTTGTCGACACCTAAAGAAAAGAAATGAAAAAAATACACTCAAAGTGATAAAAATTAATTTAAAACACATCCATAATAACAAATATCCCCTCCAACTTTCTGAAAAGTGTAAATACTTTAACTGGCAAACTTTTCTCTGCCAGAATAGGTTTCATCGGCCATAGCAGAAGCCATAAGCCATCTAAACCTTTAATTCTCTTAATTCTTCTATTTCTCTTGAGAAATATTATCTTCTGCGTGGATGGATTGGTCATTGTCAGACAATGAGAGACAAACTATTATCATTATTATATTTAGAACAGAAATTCACTCAATTTTATCATTTGAAAACCATTTTGTAGTTAATCAACAAGTTTTAATTAAGTTAACAAGATTTACAGCGCCTCACTAAATTATTATAAATCCTGAATATCAACTCATAATATTATCCAAAAGGCTACCTTGCCTATGATCAGAGAACAACAAGCTAGAATAAGAGAACCCACAAGCACCCTCTTACCAAACAGCACACAGGTGGTCGGTGGACACCCAGGCTTTCGGAATTGCCATTGTCTGTGGGAATAAATTGAATAACTGGAGCACACTGTCACTATTTGTTTACCACATTACCAGTTATAACGAAGAAGGGAAGAAAAACGTAATTTTAGTTAGATTCAAGTGTTAGTCAAAAGAACTTGGTCGCCAAGGTAAATCTTTTCCCTATTTAGACACCTAAGTAATGTATACCGTCATAAAAGACATAAGAATACATTCACCAGCACAGCTCGAGTCAGAGTTTGTTTTCACACTGACACTGACAACACATGGTTTCAAGAATAATGACATTTCCTTTCATGCATACATGACATAATAACTCAAAAGAAGAGAAACAATGTTTGCACTACATCAACCTTAAAAAAAGAAAACAAATATACAGTCGAAATTGTCTAAGATGGCCACCCATTGTAAAGCAGAAAAATTGTTGCTTGAGACAGGTGGACACTTTCAACAGTGTCATTTCAATAAAGAAAAAAGACAAGGGGGAAGTGGGAAGTGGTAATTTGTACAGGGGATTTTCTTGGAAGGTGTCTATTTGAGCAGGTTTGACTATAACTATATTTATATTTAAATAGAGAACTATCACTGACTCCAAATTTGCTGAAATTATGTGTGTACTGCATGCTGTTCCAAATTTGGAAAACAAAAAATTAGTTCACTCCTTTATGTCTACATCATAACATCTTTAGATTAATCTGAAGTATATCAGGTCAACGTAAACAAATAATACCTCTCCCATCTACTTCTCAGAGCCTTCCACCTTCTTTTTATGATTCTCTTCCTCTTCCAAGAATATATTTTTACATATATTCATAGATAGATATCGATATATATGTACAAATACATATATTTTTATTACATTTAAATTTAAAGTACAATTTTTGTTCTCAAAGTACAGTGAATATTTAAAAGGCTAGATCTAGAAACAAAACAGTATTTCTGGAAATGGCCAATTATTCTCCTCTTCTTCTCTTTCCACAGTTCACTAGAATATTCATTTTGTACAAATATCCCTAATTATCTCAAAATGAACAATCTGTTGAGAGCATTTGTAACAGTAAAATATATTGACATAGGACTAAATCACTGAGAAAAAACAACATTCATCTACGTACTTACAGATGCACTAACAGCACGATCAAGGGCAACAATCTGTGAGAATGAAGAAATAACAAAACATTGTGAAAGCAAAACATTGTGAAGTTCAGTGGAAAGAAAGGATAGAGAAAATACAGTTCCATGATTACTTTCCTTTTGAAGGACGAAACTGTGTGATTGCTTTAGTTGTTACTATATAAGCTTGTCTTTCATTAGCAGTCACCCTAATTCTTATTTCTTTAATAAGCCCATCATTTTTTCAATGCTTTTTCCATATTCAGCAGTTCTGTTTTTAATGTCAAAGTTGTCTCACTTTTGGAAAGAAAGTTTGGGTATGTTTTGCACAAGCAGCTTCAAGAACAATGTTGTTTTAATTTGCCGGCTCTTCTTGTACATGTTTTCAGATGTTTTCTTTTATAAGTTTCTATAAAATTTAGCGGAGCTGCATCTCTCAACAGGGAGTATTTCATATAGTCTCCCAGTTCTGGTAAACCATTCATATCTTCACAATGTCCACCAATATAAAAAACAATTTACAAACTTATTACACTGACTAATACATTAAGCTTCACCACAACTGTTCGGACTTGATTCAGACAAAGCCCTTAAGCCACTGAAATGCCAAACCATTTCCTATTTGCTGTTTAAACAATGTGTAGCGCCAGACTTCTATTTTCACAGACACCATTGAACATGTGTTCTTTGTAGGCCTTTGGGCTAATCAACTGGTGCTGTTTGTACCACAACATGCTTCAGGCCATCTTTCCATTCCTGCTGATGCAGATTTTTCTCACAAACAAGAAAACATATTATTATGATGTTACTGTCTATCAACCAATAGAAAACAAAAAGTACAGATCAAGAAGCTGGAGAAGAAAACTTACCCCATCCAATGCTGAGAGGCCATAGCGCACCTGTATATCCCTGTACCCACCCCCAGTACTGACAATCGTAACATGGCGTACAGAGCTGAGTGAATTATCCCTCCAATACTGGTTCACTTTAGAGTAAAACTTCTCCAAGTGAATATCAACTGGAGCCACTGTAAAGAAAAATTGTGAGTGCAAAAAGTCAAAGACCCTTTTATAGACTCATCAAAAGCTCACACTCCCATTGCCAATCAGTTATCCACATACTCATGCCCATACCTGCACATCTTGCTAGGGAAGTCTAAAACTCAAAACTAATCCCTTTATCTGCAGGCAGGAAGGGCACAAGTTTGCAGGAAAAAAGACAAAGTTTAGTCACAAGTCCACCGACAGATTATACCTACACAGGAAAGGAGAGAATGATATAAAAAGCAGGTTTGGACTTAATACAAAAGAAACATGTTTTGTATATCAATAAAAGTGGACACTTGATAAAATACAATTGTAGACAATAATAGTTTCATTTGTTCTGAAAGTCTGGCATTTGAACATCAGGTTCAGGAGGACATATAGACATAATGATCATTTAAAAGCTGAAATGAAGATACTTATTTTCATCAGCCAATAAAATAGAACACAGGAAAAGAAAAAATTGAGAAAAAAGATTAGAATCAAACACAAATACATAAAGTACCATCAAACTGACAAGCATCGTCAATGAAACAGATACAGGTGAATAAAATACAAGTCATGTTCAAATAAGTTAGCCTGACCATGCAACAATTCTCAAACTAAAAACACATCATATACCTGGCCTTTGATGAGGAGTTGCTTGGGTTATAATTGTGTTGACCATTGACGAGTCAAAGTCCGGTAAAGTAAAGAGAGCTCTTGCAATTATACCACCCTGAGGACAAATGAAAACATCACAAAGCTTACTAATGCATCAACCAAAACAACATGACTAATACTCAGTAATAGAGCTGTACCCCGGTAGCAAACCTGCTCGTGCTCGCAAGCCCCTAGTTCAAGTCACAAGCCTCAAATCACTAGGTCAAATCATCAAATCAAATCATCAGCATGATAAGTTGAGTTTAGCAAAAACTGTAACCTCCTTGGTCTAGCCTAAGCTTCAAGTCCACACCAACTAGCAATCCACGAAGCCACTCATGTCAGACCCCCTCAACCTCCACACCCTAATTGCAATCCGAGAAGCCACTTACATCAGAAAAAGAGAGAGGGGGAGAGTGAGAGATCCGGCTCACAGTGTCACTGCGCGGCGTAGCGCTGTAGTCTGCTTGATTAATCGAAGGCTTGCAAGCAGCGGACAGCTGTCAAGTCTCAAATCCCGTCCGCAGCACACAAGTCCCATGATTCCCTTGTCATGCTTTGTGCCAGTGAATTGCTCAAGCCCGGCAAGTCTCTCGGCTCCCATTTTTTGCTTTGGCTCCCAGGACCAGCTCGAAACCTGGCAAATCGCTTGGCTGACTTGCTGTTTTGCTGTAGCAGCGAGCAGCAAGACCGCTCGCAGTGTGAACTCTGAACCATGGAGGAAGGGAGAGGCTGTGCTTGTTTTGGTGCAAGACGTAGAGAACTGAAGTTATTTTTAACTTCCCGCCGTTGATCAGCTTAGTGAGTGGATAAGTGAGAGGGAGAGTGGTAGTGTAGTAACAGAAACCTAAGTTTCTGGTAGTAATAAGAATAAGTAGACTTAGATTACCCTAGAATGGAAAATTCCAGGGGTCATTGTGATTGGTTTTTGTATCGTAGGTATGTAACCTATTTTGTAAATGTTTTTCACTCACAGTGACATAATACAGAACATTTAGGAGACGGGCTAGGCCTACTTCAAGGGCCAGCCTGGACTGAGAGGGAACAACGCCCTAGGAGAAAGACGGAGGTTCTCAGTAAAAATTTCTCCCCATACGGGAATCAAACTGAGGTCTTTTGCTTGCAACGACGAAGCGCTTGGCTCCTGCACATTAAAAACAAACAGGCCTTTGCATTGTTAGAATAGCTGATCCATTATTAATTTTTAAGTGCATTGAATAGAGCTTTTTATTTTTTACAATCCGACTATGGAAAAAAAAAACAATCTTGCACTTTTGGTGCAAGCCTTTCAACGCAAATAACCGGAGAATCTTCTGTAATATGTACTGAGCCCACAGCCACGAGAGTTTGCAACGTCACGACACACTACAGCAAGTCACAACTCACCGGAAGTTCCCCCCAGGTAGCAAGCAGGAGGCAAAGCAAAGTACAAGGCTGCTCGCAAGCCTCTAGCGCAAGCCGTCCGCTGCTTTGCAAGCCTTCGATTAATCGAGCAGACTCCAGCTCTAATGACTAAACCATCATTTGTTATGAACAATATTACCTAACATGAGGATCAAGAAATTGGGAAAGATGAATAAACAAAATGTTTGCTTAAGGGGAGACGTACACTCCCGAAAAAATTTTCTAAACGAATGACTTTTATTCACTTTCATGTAATTGTGCAAGTACATAGGTAAATAGGATGTACTAACGGTGAATTTGTAGATTTTTTCTGAAAAATGGGTCTCTGCAGCAACCATCTTGGATTTTCAAACCAGTTTCTTAGTGCAGAAGAATTTCATAGTAAATATTGAAACATCAGCCTGAAATTTGGCTCACAAGTACAAACCTATATGGACTGGGGATCTATGTGAGGTTTTTTTACCTATCTTTAAAAATAACAAAGGGAGCCCAAAATCAATGGACACCCGAGAGTCATTTGACGAAATTTTGAGGTACATATTACAAAAAATTTGAATATTTCCAAAAGTTACCAATATTTCCCCAATTAGCTCACATAGATCCCCAGAATAGATCTTAAAGCACCTATGCGTCAAATTTGAAGCTTCTAGCATCAGCAGTTTTTGAAAACTCCTTGCACCAAGGTCACCTAAGTCAAAAGGTAGTTTTTGAGAAAAACAGAAAAAAACAGGGATTTTTTAAAGGATTTTTAGTGCAATTTGCAGTTTTCAAACGCTCTTTCAGGTCATTTAGGGTGTATTCTAAACAGTTTCGTCATGTTTTTCATTTATGTGACAAAAGTATTATTATCTTTATTTTGCAATAAAAATATTAACACTTTCTTTTTTTTTTGGTGATGAAAACATAATTATTTTCATTTCTGTGGCAAAAGTAAAGTAAGTTTCATTTCTAGATCAGATAACTTTTTAGACAAACATGTCAAATTAACACAGCTCTTACCATAGAGTGTCCAACCAGTACAACAGATGAGGGGGGAGATTTTGCCCCAGAGTAAAAAGACAGAATTTTCTTCAGACAGTGGTGTACAAATTCTGAGGACACACAGGGAAAAAAGAAAGCAGTTGTCATTGGGAGAATCTGACAAAAATCACAAAGAAAACATAACAGTGACCTAAATTCTCATTGTTGTACTCATTATAAACTGGCATAATCAAGTCGATATAGATTTCATAGGATGATCTAGATAAGTTCCTTAGCACTTCACAGAGCAATGATCAACTTCTTCTCCAGCAACCAGACATACCACAAAATGGTACTGAGCCAAAGAAAGAATCCCCACAAGCTGTTGAATTGGCAATAACAACATAACAATGAAACAATGACACCGTAAAGCAAGAGTATAAGCAATTCATAAAAAAGCAAAAATAAAATATTGGTATTTTTCAACACTTCTTTGCTTTACTTTTCCGATCCAGCGGCCATTTGAGTTCTAGCCCTTAGGTTGTTTCAGTACCCTTTGTCGTCAACAGATGCCAGTTACAACACATTTAAACTTCCTATGGACTAAATTGTTTTACTTTCTTATGGTTTCAGCACTCAAGTACTCCTAAATACAAATAGAGATGGGTAGGAGTACAAAACAAGGACAGAAGGAGAAAATGCTAGAAACTAAACACAAAAAAGTAAATATCACAAATGGGATTCCAGCATAGACATTTATGTGTGTCATTCCACCATTACAATTACAGAGGTTGCATTTACTGCTAGTAGTCATTTACAACCCCCCCCCCCCAAACCCACAGGGGAGGGGCCTTCAGGTATCAAGTCCAAAGCACAAAGTCGGTGCCAATGCTCACCAGTCTGTTTGTCCAACACACCACCATACAGAGCAGACAACTCCTATAGAGGAAATAAAAAAGTATAATCATAGTTATACAGATCTATGTTACTGTCTTAATCTAACATCAACACAAATGTCTCAACTTCTATGAAAGATGGATAAGTATGTTTTTTTAAAATCAAAATCAAGACAAATTAACTTTATGATGATACCAAGTACTCCATATATGCCAAAAAGTTGACAAGCACCTGATTCCATCATGTTATGACACAAATGTCAAAAGTCTTGAAAACTCTATTCATGTCACAGAGACAAAAAGAGGTCATCACAACAAGAGCTGCCTGAGCAACAGCAATAGGAATTGTTAATCTAGAAATCTATGGACCTTGTTGCTCAAGTAGCCCTCGCAGAAATTCCAGGTACTTTCAATTTCAATGATGGGGATGCATTACCGCAATCAAATATTTCTTTGACAACTCTATCTGATGGAACATATATAAAAAGACTTACCTCATTGAAATCCACAACAAAGTAATTGAAATGAGCTCGGACCTGAGGGTGTTCAGACATCCGTAAGGACACAGAACCAAGTGACCTAACTGAAAGGTGGAGAAAAAATTATGGAGGTCATCTAAATGTAATTGAGAGTACATAACTTATTAAAATAAATACAGGCAATATGTGTCAATACCAATAACAAAAATCCAACAAATGAACACATTGGTCACTCTTGAAAATTGCAAATATCTATTGGAGAGAGAGAGAGAGAGAGAGAGAGAGAGAGAGAGAGAGAGAGAGAGAGAGAGAGAGAGAGAGAGAGAGAGAGAGAGAAAGAGTGATCGAGAGAGAAACAGACAGACAGACAGACAGACAGACAGACAGACAGACAGACAGACAGACAGACAGACAGACAGACAGACAGACAGAAACGCGTCACAGAAACACTGGGTCAGAAAGAGAGAGAAAAGCGGAGAGATCATTTGTCTCCACGAAAGCACCAAATACAAACAAGTCTGAGATAGTTTTATGAATATCAACACATAACACACCTTGTTTGTAGCTTCCGGCATTTCCTGGGATAAAGAGGACAGGAATACCATCTAATTTTAAATTCCTGCAATGAAGTATAAAAAAATAAATGCTTTTCAAGTAAAACAGCCCATCTATGGTATACAATAATATTTACAAAATTCGAGATAATGTGTATATTCAATATTTTCCCTCTGAGCATAAGAATGAATTGGTTAAACAACTTATCTTAACAGGAGGAGCCACCCTTGAGGATCATTTTCTAAGTTTGTCGCCTGAGATCAAATCAAAGTACATATATAAGTTTGGCAACGTAAAATCTTTTGATATGCATTTTTATTTTGGTATAGCTACAGCGGTTGCTATGGAAACGGCCGCCATCTTGAAAATAAACAGTGATTTTCAAATCCCTAAGGCTTTCTTATTTACTGACCAAATCTGATGAGGGTATACCTGAACCAGACTTAATCAGCTTCACAGCAAGTTTTCTTCAATAAGTGCAAAAGAAAAAAAAATGCGATAAGTTTCCCAAAGTGTAAGAAACCTTTTTAAATTTCGGTAGCGTAATCACTTGCCAACGGAAAAGTGTATTTTTTTTGCAAATATCTCTATGTTACATTGATGGCAGCCTTGCCATCTATGTTTCCAGAATGTTTCAAGTCAAAAGGATGAACACTAAGGAAGGAGTAGGGAAAAAATTGCGAAAAAATGACATTTTGCAAAAACCAAATAATTATTGTGAAAATTCAGTATATTAACCCACCCTCATGTTTTCAAAGGCAATTCACGAGAAGAATAAAGACTTTCTCAATAGTCTCTATGCTATTTTTAGACAAAGAACTGGTTGATCTTCAAAAACCAGCCAACATCTCAATGTGCATAGCCTGACTCAAAATCTGCAAAATCAAGAGTTGCTCCTCCCCTTAATTTACAAAAAAGCACAATATGAATTTGCTGTTTCTTGTTACAAATAAAAAATAATTCTGACAAACATCTCTAACCTTTCCAGTATAGCAAGTCATTAAAGCTAAACTGACGAGAAAATTTTTTTCAAAAGTAATTACTTTTATTTTTATTAGTATTCTTTCACAAAGGCTATTCTCACCTCAACTGCCTTGCATACTGGCTGGAAAAAGAAAAAAAGGATAATGTGACAAAGACAAGAGTTCTATTGCAAACAAATGCACATATTAATTTTTAATTTAAAAACTTGTATATATGCCAGATAGTGTTTACCGTGTAGACAAAAAAAAGTACACAAGCATTCATGTCTTGTAAAATAAAAACTGTTTGAATTAATTATATTATTAAAAAATTGTTAAGAGTAATAAAGCAAGGCTACCTAAATAACAGAATAGAATTTCAATCTGTAATATTTTGGGTTCATGAAATAAGGAACAGAGACATTTTCTCTTACTAAAAAAATTAGTTGTATATGTCAATCTCCCCTTTGTCCATTTCAGAATTAGTAAGAACCGCTTGGAATTCCAGTTTTGATGCCAGATTTTGAGATCAATGCTTTTTTAATGACTAGCAGAAGGTGAAATAATGAACACGTTCTTTCTACTATGAGCAGCTTGTGCTGGTGGGATTCAAGTGATGAACAGCTGACCAGAATGTAGTGCATAACTGTTTCTGTGTTACTGCAATTTGAGCTAGCTTGCCATTTTCACCAAAAGATGCATGACTTTTTAACCCATCTGACGATGATTTGTTCATTCACGGTAAGTCGCTCAAGAGATAGAAAGAGGTAAGCGTGACCTATTGTATACAAATAACTTTTTCTAAGTGACATCAGCCAAGAACAATGGTTCGATTTTTTAACGAAACAAGAAATGAATACATACCCTTCTCCATAGATAAAAAGCCGATACGTAGGATACTCTTTACGAAGTTTGCCAAGAGCTATTTCCTGAAAAAAATTGAATTTAAAGGAAAATCATATAGTAGGCTATAGCATCATAGACTTTTTAAAAATCATGTCAATTGCAGTATCTTTCAACACTATGCCGTATTATTTTACTCCTGGACCCATCTCAGACTCAGAAATGACATTCAAAAGCGCTTTTCTTGATCATTTTTATCTATTACATGAATTAAATCCACTGCAAATTATTAGTTTATGAGATGTATGCCGCTGTATGAGGGATGTTTTTATAGAAACTATATTAAGAACTCACTGCTTAGTAACATTTTAAAACAAATTTTTTAAAGTGTTTTACGGCACTTGCAACTGGTAGTAATATTTGACTTGTATTTAACAACATGTGGCATTTCAGGGGGACTAAAAAAAAAACCTAGGGATTTTAGAGGGCTATAAATATGGCTCCCTGCATTTTACTACGGCCTATAATTTTAAAATGCTTCGCACTTTGGTTTGATATTTTGTTGATTTCAAACAATTGATTTGCGATGGTTATATGGGCTCTGCAGCAACAATTACACAGTTTAGCCCCCAAAACAGTGCAACATCTCTGCATGCGGGTCTAGAAAAGTAAAAATGTACCCACTGTGTTGTGTTCTTACGAGAAAAAGATCTTTTGCTGTAAACATCAGTCTTTTCACTTCTTCCTTCTTTAGTATGCTGCAAGACCTCAGGTCCAGCAGCTCTCAACAATTTCAAAAGAATCCTTTAATTTAAAAAACATGGCTGTGTGTTGTTTTTACTAAATACAAAAGCACCAGATGATAGAATAGGGCAGGGTAAAAAAAACCCAAAAAAACCTGGCTGTTAATGGCATTTTTAACACATGAAGCTACAGCAAGCACCTAGCACACCTCAGCGATAGGCCCAAATATTGATGATATGTACAGTCAAACCTGTGTAAGACGGCCGCCCATTGTCAAGGAGAAAAGTGGCCGTATTAGACAGGTGGCCGTCTTAGGCAGGACTGATCAAGATGGAGAAAACGAACCATTCCCATCTGAGGTCGCAATCGAAAGTAGCCACCTTGTTGTTGTTTTTGTTGTTGTTGGTGGTGGTGGTGGTGGTTTGTATTTTGTTTGTAATTTTTATTTTGATGCTGATTTTGCACAAGGGTGACAATAAAACGAAATGTATCAGACGAGGAAGACCGAGTGCCATGTTAAAACAAACACATGGGTCGCCACCACTCGGAGAACGAGCGACACTTCTGTCACGAGTTCATGTTGAAGTCCTTTGATACTTTGTTACAGACTGGGTAAACAGTGACCACTCATCTCACTTACGATTTGTGTGTATGAGTTTTTGGCGGGGCTTATGGGTTATCATGGGGGATCACACGCTTACCTCACCAGCAGCTGAAAATTGGTACCTATTGGTCAACAGTGGGAGGGACCAGCGCAACATGATCGGTTGGAGGGACTACCTAACAACACCGACAGGTGATTGAATTATGACAGCTCGCCCACAACGCCAGGGGCCAATGCACAATTTATGACAAAACGTATAGAGTCTCTAAGGTGGCCGTCTAAGACAGGTGTTATTGCTTAGTGTGATAGGGGTTGTGTGTCTCTTTGTCTCTTTCTGAATACTGTCTATCGGTGTGGATGATCAAATTGACCAAAACAAAGTTTAGAAATGATGTTAAAACACAAAAGTAAATTAATTTGGTCATCTACAAAGATGCTACGGCTATTTAACTTTTTGAATCGAGCCGAACTACGCAGGTCGCTATTTTGTTTTGCCCGGAAGTTCTCACGCTACTCCCCTCTCTCTCTCTCTCCACTGCCCAGAGACAAAATTGTACACTTTTAGGCTAACAGTAGTAGTGGAACGTTTGTTCACGGCACAGAATTCTACAATTTTTGTGTTATCACAGTGTAGAATTCTGTGGTTCAGGGTGAACGCAAAATTATTTGGCCTAGAATTATTGGCGCTTTTTCGGTAGTTCCCACCCCGCAATTTTATTCACGGGTTTGGGCCACAAGAGTAGGGGGGTTTCAGGGGGGCTTGCCCCCCTGACCTAACAAAAATAGGAAGGGGGGTTTCAGGGGGGGCATGCCCCCCTGAATTTTACCATAATTTAATGTTTTGAAGTTGTTAGGTTTGATATCTTAGCTCACCGCGAATCAAACGTATAGATCTAGATCTAGATGTAGGTCAGGCTCAAATAAGGGGGGTGGGAACTACCGAAAAAGCACCGATTTATCTAGATCGAGGCTATAACGACGATGAACGTACACCGGGTGTGAGTGAATAGCCAAAGCCAAAAGACTCGCCTGCGCTATTCTCACTATTCTCACCCGAGGCGAGAATAGAGGTGGCCATAAAACAAAGTGGGAAGATTGAAGAATACCGGACCACTCGTACATTATTGTACGCTTCCGTTAGGCCTATATGAGCCATTGCCAAAACGTGGGGAAAAACACACACATCTCACAATAGTGTGCATAAAATGTGATGCATTAGTATTTATTCCTCCAAAACTTAAACACATGTCAAATATAGGATGTAGAACCTGCATTAGCAGTTTCAGACCCTATGTCAGCTTTATAATCTTGAGTTTGTAAATTTTGTGCCCAAAATGTTCGTTTTTTAGTGATTCCTGGAGTGTCATTTTGAGCACACCAATGCAAACTTCCAAGAATGTCAAAAAATTAGTATTTTTGGGTGTTTTTTTTTAACCTGTGCTTTGATTCTATGCTATTTGTGATCGAGAAAGGTTCACTTGCTCAAGAAATCGATTTATTTGTTTGCAAATAAACGAATAATTCGGATCACTTGTGCGTCAGGGGTGTCGTCACGGACTAGGTGTTTCAGAAAACACCATTATTTTTCAGTAGAATCACCACAGCTGGTTAAATCTTTTTGCCTATCGTCGTTTATTCAACAGTTCAAAAGCCGCGATGCGCGAAAGGAACATCGGGTTCCTAGATCTACGATTTCGGTCGGCTGTTTAACATTTGCCGTTAATGGCGTCACTTTGCGACGTACCGGAAGTCCGAATTTTAGCCTACTTTTGTTTTGAACGGGTCATCAACAGTGCCCGGATATAATTGTTTTCTTGAGTGACTTCCCCTTACCCGCTTCCCCAGAACAGCGGGAGCAACGGGGTAAAGAGAAAAACGAAAGTAGTCATTGCCGTCACCCTCCGGTTACGCACAAGAATCTTGCGTTGAATGTGACGTACTGGACTGTTTTGCGTGTTTTTAGGCTACCCTATTGAATATTTTAGTGAAATTGTGGTGTTTACATTGGATTCCTGGAACAAGAGTGTGATGTGTGAACAAACTTCGAGAGATGGATCATTTCTGTGGTTATAGATTTAGCTTTTGTGCTTAGTGATGACGTTTGGGGTGTCGTCATGCAGCCGTACAAGACTGACTGACGTACTAGAAATTACATTGTCCTAAGAGCAAACATTTTTTAAGTCATGTGTGCTCTTTTTACTCAAACAAATAGACAAACATGTCCTTGTTTATCTGTCTAACTCAAAAGTACACATTTGTTCTTTGTTGGCATGATATGCCTTTTTCCAATACACTGTGTCATTGTGTCATCATTGTTATGTACAAGTAATATTTTTCATAATTGCTAAATAAGTTTTCAACATATATTTCATACATGCAAGATTCATTTAGAAACAAAATACTCCTTTATTGATCTGTGTATCTCATAGTGCAAATTTGTTCTTTGTAGGCATGATTTTACCTTTTCCCAGTATGTTTTGTCATCACTGTTATGTACGAGTACTCTTTGTCATAATTAGCAACGTAATTGTGATTGTCTACTGTCTTTGATATGACCTGGCATCTGTTTCAAAGCAAAAGAAACCTTTCCTGGATTTTTTTATTCTTAAAGTGCGCTTTTCTCTCTGGAGACAAGACTTTTGTCTTTTCCTGTACATTGTGTCATCATTGTTATGTACAAGTCATGTTTGTCATCACTGTTATGTACAGGTCAGCTCAATTGATTTTGTGCTTTTGCCTCATATTAGTTTAAAAATTGTTTTACACATGTGTTTTTCTGGTACTGAGGCTTTGATAACTGTATTTGTACAGCCTTTCACTATTGTGATGTGTTGTTAATGATAATGTCCAATATGTATCCTTTCTTGTACATAACAATGATGACATGTTCTGTGCACTGCGTCATTATTACATAGCTTGTCATTCATATTACCATTATGAATGGAGTTCATAGTGTACGAAGTCTTTGTTTACTAAACAAATGGAATTTAAAGTCCTTTATTTGCCTTGCTGCTTATCTGTTTTTGTGATCACTGTTACATACAAAAGAAATACAGTAGTTGCCAAACCAATAGACCCATATCTCCAAAACCGTACGTCTCCTTGCTCTGATACTCTAGGAATATGAGCACTAAATGTCAATCTGTGACTGACAGAAAAGAGAGTCAAATTGGTCAGAAATTTTTTTTGCACCACTGAGTCTCAAGAGAGTCTCACGTTTTGGCAATTGCTCATATATCTAGATCTAGATCTAGTATTGAGTGAGAAAGAAAGTGGCTATTCTCACCCGCCCGGAAGTTCTCGCAAGATCAACTCCTCCCCTCTTCTCTCTCTCTCTGTCTGTTTCTGAATACTGTCTATCGGTGTGGACGATCAAATTGACCAAAACAAAGTTAAAAAATGATGTTAAAACACAAAAGTAAATTAATTTGGTTGTCTACAAAGATGCTATGGCTATTTAACTTTTCGAATCGAGCCGAACTACGCGGGTCGCCATTTTGATTTGCCCGAAAATTCTCGCGCTACTCCTCTCTCTCTTTCTCTCTCTCTCTCCACTGCCCACAGACAAAATTGTACGCTTTTAGTAGGCTACAGTTGTAATGGAACGTTTGTTCACGGCACAGAATTCTACAATTTTTCTGTTCACAGTGTAGAATTCTGTGGTTTAGGGTGAACGCAAAATTTGGTGAACGCGCACCGGGTGAGAATAGCCACAAGTCACAAGACTCACCTGCACTATTCTCACTCCGGGCCCCGGGTGAGAATAGAGGTGGCCAGTGAGAAAATGGGGTAGGTGGGGCGGGTGGTCGGGGTGGAGGAGGGCTTTCAGGGGGGTCACCCCCCTGACAAAATTTTAATGAATAGATGTACCGGTCGGAGATTCTCCTTTGAGAGATATTAAAAACGGGGAAATTATGAATTCCTAAGGTTGAGACATAGCCATAGGCCATAGAGGCAAAGTCAGTCCGCTGGTCCGGTATTCTTCAATCTTACCAACAAAGTCAAAGCTATAAAACTACTTTTTTTTTAAAAATATATAGAATCTAGACTTATAAAAGAAATACTGACCTGATATTCCGGATATTCGTACATGTACGTCATTTCACACCCATTTTGCTCAAAATTTGTAAGCACATCATAGATTCCTGCACCAATAATGCTGACCAAAACAACCGACACCGACAACGGGATGGGAGCCGCCATCTTGACTTGGCCAAGTTTTAAATCTCAAACTTTATTACTCCTAGGCTATAATAGAAACAAAACAGAAGGGGATAACGTCATAAGGTATAATGTATTTAACTCCGAACTTATGATATGATTTCATTCATTTATTTTTGACAATTTAAAACATACATAAAAATAGATACGGTTTGACAATAGAATAACTCATTACTTTCCATTTAATCAATATTTAGATCCGTTAAATATTCCTGTTATTTTACGAGTATGTTTCTTTTTAAAGAGGCATCATAACAAACAAGCATGGCGTCAGGGTCCGAGAAGTATGATACGGCATTACTGGCCATTTTGCAGAACGAAGGGAAAGTGGCTCCTTTCCTGGATGAAGTTTTGGGATTCTTGTACAGAAGGTAGGGACAGTTGTTCAATGTAGAAAAAGGTCCCCGGCTGACATCAGAAGCAGTCTGAATCTTACGATATTCAGATGGGAAGAGGCTAGCCAACCAATGACTATGACTATGAAATGACGGCTAGACTGCTAGGCTAGCCGTACTTAAGTCTTAAGTACTTAATGACGGCTAGACGGCTGGGCTAGCCGTACCTATATGATGGCTAGACTGAAAAACAGCAAAAAATAGGCCTACTGAATTGTAAATAAATTTTTCGAAGTGACTATTTCTGTGAACGTTCGGAGAAATAGTGCCGATCTTTATTTCTCCGAACGGTTTCCGGCTTCCGGTCTCGTGATTTTTTGCCTATTTATTGCGAGAGTTCCACACCAACTTTCATTCTGCCTCTGGTCTGGGAAGGAACACCGCATGGCAAGCCCGCTTAAAGACAACCTTCAGTTACACCTACCACACGTGACACACCCACCACCATCATGCACATGTACACACACAACGTATGACGAGCTGAGCTGTGGATGGAGAGACAGTGTGAGTGACAGAGCAGATGAAAGGAAGAATGTACGAGTGTATCCACAGGCGTCAGCAACTACAAGACGACGACACCGACCCCCCTGGCCTGGTCCACAGCTCACGAACGAAAGGAATGCGGCTAAGGCAGTGTTTTGCCTATATTATTGTCCATGGTTCGCATGGTGCTATGGAATGAGTGAGATTTTCTTTGTGTGTGCCTGGAGGGAGGGGGTGGGGTGTGAAAGTCATGCGGATGGGGATGAGCCGCGGGAGAGAACACGAGAATTGAATGAATGAGTGAAACTGAAAGAGAGGAACGACTCATGAGCCCTGGAGTCAATGGTTCCTGTGTTTCTATTTTTGTATACTTTGAACTGTTACTGAATAAAGGCTGAAATAAAGCCCGAAAAACAAACACACACACGCTCCTCACTCTCCACTTACACTTACTACCACACACAGACACTCTCACACACGCACACATGCATACATACACACACACACACACACACACACACACACACACACACACAGGAGCAAATTTTTAGGTCTATATCCATTTCAATTTTCAAGAGCTAGTCTAGAGATTTTTAGATGAGTGTAAAAACGTGAAAAAGAAAGGTTTCACAACAGAATGAAATCAAAATTAGAACAGCCCATAAACAAACACAAAAATTAAAAAATAAGGGCGTACGTCCACCAGTCTGAAGAAGATTGGCTGTTTTAACGCTAAATGTGCGTAATTTCAAAACAAAGCACAGGATATTACACATAAATTATGGAATCACACACATTATAATTTTATTATAAAGGGGCCTGCCAGTGTCAGTACATGTAATCGGTTTTGATGGAATGTACGCTCTAACATAACACATTTAAATCTATGTAATATATGTATATACATATGTATATATATATATATATATTTTTAGAATCTAATGAAAGTAGGAACATCAAATTAAATGACGTTACACTATACAACATCCCCCCCTCCCTTTTCCCCAACAACAAAAAAATTGATAGAAAAATAACACACCAGAAAAATAAGAAGAAAAAAAATACACACTAACAAATTAAAACACCACAAAGAGGGAAAAATAAAGTAACTGTAACGTATTCAACAAATCAACGTAGTGACAACAAGTGAGAAAGACGAAGTGAAGCTAGGTGAACTTTCTTTCAAGAGTAAAGACGTTCGGTTTCTTTCTTTTTTTCTTTTTTTTTAAATTTGATTTCAGAGTGTTCGGAGAAATAGTGCCCAGCTTTATTTTCCCGAACGTTCGGAGAAATAGTGCCTAGCTTTATTTTCCCGAACGTTCGGAGAAATAGTGCCGGCCTAAATTTTTAGTCTGCAATAGATCTAGATCTAGATCAAGAATCTATTCTAGATATAGATCTAGATATAGATCTAATCTAGAGGTCTACCTGAGCCTAAAGTAGATCTCTAGACCTTCTATGGTAATTTGAGACATGCGACTAAACGTGAAGGCCACCTCTATTCTCACCCCGGGAAAATAGCGCAGGCGAGTCTTTCGGCTATTCTCACCCGGTGTGCGTTCACCGTTATAGTGTAGATCTAGGCCAACCAATTTTGCGTTCACCCTGAACCACAGAATTCTACACTGTGAACAGAAAAATTGACATGCGATTAAAATTAGACAGACGCAAACTATTTTTAGGTAAGGCGCCCATCTTGTTTGACATCAGACTAGGATACCCCTCCGATCACGTGACTACATCTAAGTATAGACAACCGCATGGCACCAAAGATGGAAGTGTCTATGTATATGATGCTTAATTAATCTACACCTTTCTCCCGAAGTTTTGATAGCGCGCCTGCGTTTGATGTCGTGTAATGACTTTTGGAGCGGTTCGATTCCGGTCCCGGACAGGGTTTTTTTCTCTTTTCCTCCTCCCGGCTGACCAACAGTTCCATAAATTATAGGCCTAATTTGTTACATTGTAGAGTTGCTTTGAAGTTGTTGGTTTTTAAAAAAATGTATTAGCGATTCAAAATGCAGGAGAGGGGGGTGGTGGTAGATCTAAATTTAGATATCTAGATCTAGATCTAGGCCTCCTGCGTCTTTACGGCAATTTTCTTGCGGTCTTCCATCATGTCCAAGCAGGCCTGCTAGATATCTAGATCTAGAATCTACATCTAGATCTAGATCTAGATCTAGATCTAATCTAGAATCTAGATCTAGGAAATCCGAAATGTTACCGAAAACACGTCATTCCATATTGGTATCCCAGGGAGTGATGACATCACATTACTAAAATTAGTAGCCAATCAGAAAGATGCGTCTTTTCTACGTTTAACGGCATGTGAAAAATTGTAGAATTCTGTGCCGTGAACAAACGTTCCACTACTACTGTTAGCCTAAAAGCGTACAATTTTGTCTCTGGGCAATGGAGAGAGAGGAGTAGCGCGAGAACTTCCGGGCAAAACAAAATGGCGACCCGCGTAGTTCGGCTCGATTCGAAATGTTAAATAGCCGTAGCGTCTTTATAGACGACCAAATTAATTTACTTTTGTGTTTTAACATCATTTTTTAACTTTGTTTTGGTCAATTTGATTGTCCACACCAATAGACACCAATATTCACCAATCCCACAACTAGATTTTACAATCAGCTTCTTCCACTCCACGTGGTTTTCTACCTATACATGTCAAAGTCCTAGATCTATTTGATGTTTTCTTCCCATCTTTGCCTCTGTATGCTACTTTGGTGCCCATACCACTTTAGTTTGTATGACTTATTTTTATAATAACTTGGCCCAAAAATGTCCCCAGCAGCAAGTAACTGCCTTCCTTTAAGTTCTTAAAAATTGTAATGTCAAAACGTCAATGCTTGGGCTCTATCTCTATATCTATGAGGTTTGACTTACTTTAATTTCTTATGTTCTAACCAGTAATTCATTTTTTTCACAAGTGTCCAGTGGTTCATCTATATATATACATATTATATCGTCACTTTCGCTGCCTAAAACTTCCGAACCATTTAACTTTCTAATTTGACAAAATTAATGGTTGTTCAGAACCATTTAAAGGGTGCACAGTTTCATTGAGAAGCCTGAAGTCACTGTAGTTTAATTTTCAGTTTTTCATTAGTTTTGTTTAGAAAGTCCGTTTTCTAAGACACCATTGTAAACAAGTGAGGCTTCCGTTCACTGGCCATGCACACTTATTCCATACCTTTGAAATTATGGAGTGTACAACCACGAAAGCGGAACAGAGAATCAATCTATAGGCCTACATCTATTATATATTTGGAAATTTGGAAACACATATGTGTCACTTTTCTCTCAAGATTTATTGCTCCATTCTAGTAGAGTATAGTAGGCCAATGACTTTCAGTTTATGTTAATGCACCAATCATTCCTTTCATCGAAAGGGGGCCCAGCTAGTATATATATATATACAGTAGCACATGACTATAGCGGCACCCTCTATAGCGGGACCTTACCAGAATCCCCCATTTTTGTTCCTATGTAAACTATTACTTATGCTTGGATATAGCGGGGCAAGGAAAGTCCCGAACTCAGATACGACGGGAGAGATCGAGCAAGCTCTAGCTGGGGAGTAGGGACTGTAGGCGGGCTCCAAACAGGCAGTCAGCAGTGCACGTTGGGATTGACTAGTCCAGTGATGGGTGAGGTGGGGCAGGCGGTAGGCCTAGAGAGAGATGGTTTGGAGAGACGGTCACATGAACCACTCCAAAAGTGATGTAGATCTATACAGTAGAACATGACTATAGCGGCACCCGCTGCAGCGGGACCATCCCTACAGCGGGTCCTTACCAGAATCCCCCTTTTTTTTATGCAAACTCAATTATGGGGCAAGGGAAGGCCCGAACTTGGATATATCGGGAGACATCGAGCAAGCTCTAGCTCTGGGGAAGGGAGTTAGAGGTGGGTGTCTGTAGGCAGGATCCAAACAGGCAGTCAGAGGTGCGGCGTTGTGATTGGCCAGCCCAGTGATGAGTGAGGTGGGGCAGGCGGCAGAGAAAGATGGTGCGGAGAGGCGCGTTTCGTGAGCCACTCCCAAAATTTTAAGTGATGTGCCATAGCCTAGACGCTCAAAACGGTATAAGAGTGTATAGGCCATAACCGTAGGCTAGGCCAAAAAGTAAAAGAAAAGGAGATCGTGTAGTTTGTGATTCCTGTTTCATTGAATTGCGATTGTAGATGCTCATAGGCATACGCATGCATCCTCTTCCTCAGTTCTACAGTAGGCCTACAGGTACGATAGACAGCACAAGCAACAAACCGAGGAAAAGATGGCTTCCAAAAAAGATTAAAGGAAATCATTCTCACTCGAATTAAAGGCCGAGATAGTCAATGAAGTTGACAAGAAAAGGAAGACTAATCTAAAGCACAAATTTTATTGAGATATGGAAGGGGTGTAATCATGTGGATTTTTAGAAATTTTTCGATGATTTCCATTTTGCATTCCTTTAGTGGGAACTCGCTTACAGCGGAATTTTTCTCCTGGAACCAAAAGTCCGGCTATAGCCGTGTTTAACTGTATATATGAACTTTCTTCTCCAGAGGTTTTAATCTTGTTTCCCCTTCTTCCATCAGGACTGACTTCTTTCGGATAATGAAAACTGACACTGACAGACTTGGTTTCCCTCCTGGTGTGGCCTATAAATTGCTTAAAAATGTAAGCTCATTTTAAGTTTGTTCTTTTTTAAACAAATCTGGTGAGAATTGAAGCAGATGATATTATCACTGTGCACTGAATCAGAGATGATGATATTTTAAAGATTTAGAAGATAACTCCTTTACTTTTTAAATGTTTTGCGAAATATCTTTGAGTAGATGTTAATTTTTGTCCCATAGCTAAGACTAAGATAATAAAGAGAATTGTAACTGTGTTTCCAGTGAAGTGTCAGAAGGTAAATTTTATAAATGTGAAGTGTATATTTTAGAAAGCTGAGCTCAGAAGAACATCATTCAAAGGTGCCTATTTTCAGGATCCAGGTTTCTGTAGTAAAATTGTTTGGACCAAAGTATGTACCTGATATTATAAATGATGTCATATTGCTCTTCATATATGTATAGATCTATATATATAGTATAGATAGTTTTGGTGCCAGATGTATTAGATGATAGTAATTTTATGATCCATAATTTTGAGTCCCTATGCACATGTTTCTAAAGGGGTCGGAAAAATTCAGAATTTTTATTTGTACTCAGTTGGTCCGTCTTGGTTATGGAGACACTGATATTTTAAAAACTGAGATCCCAATGGAAGTTTTTATTTCTTTATAATTTATAGTTTTATGTTTGTAATGCATGAGACGAAGACTTTTAACGGGAAACTGACAGCATGATCAAATTTTTTGCAAAGCGAGTTATTAGATAACGTGTTCATGATGATGACAGAGGTCATTTAACAGATGAAATAGGGATGGTATAATTAACCAATTTCTTAGACTTAAGATTTGTGATCCTGGGATGTACATCATATGTAATTTATTGCTATAAACTGTTTAGAGGGAAGGATAAATGAAATATAACCTTACCATTGGGGGAGGGGGAGGAGGCTTATGATGCTATAGAAGAGGTGTTACTAGGAAGGTTTTGGGGTTGTTGTTTTTTTTTTGGGGGGGCAGGATTGTTTTTGTGTGTGTGTGTGTGTTGACTTCTTTCTCAAGGTTCTTTCACAGTAAATGCCATAGTCACAGTGGAGCTGATGTGGCAGTGAAATACTCATTGCTTAAAAAAAAGAGAGGTAACTTCTCTTGCTACTGTCTGACTTTTACTAAAATTCCAATCTCGTCCAGTGTCAGTTGAAGAAGTTGTTAATTTCATCACATTGCTTTATAATATAATCTGTCTTGTATGTTGCTAAAATATTTTGATACACAATATTCTCTTCAGATTTTCAAAAAGTATGAAATATTAGCTCAGAAGGATTCTGAGAAGGCTGATCAGATGAGACAGGCAAGAAAAAAGAAGCAAGAAACTCAAGAACAACAAAGTGAAGCCTCAAATATGCAAACCCCCACAGAACCAAGTCAAGGTGCAAATTGAATTTTTTGCTTATTATGCTAATGTGGGGTTCTTTTTTTTTTTTTTTAATAACAAAATTAGTGGTGCACGTTTTGTATTTAAGAGAAGTCCTGGGTATTTTTCTATCGCTGGATAAAGAGGTGTTCTTTGGTTTATTATTTAATTCTGAAAATATCAATATGATATGCTTCAATAAGGTACAGTCCGTGCCGGCTTTAAACACACTGGCATGGAACACATTTCGGACTCAAGCACTCTAAATGGCTCTTACCAAATTTTTGCTATATAATTTACGCTCCTTTAAGCATGATAACTTCGGCTTCGGGCACGCTTCATTTGTACTTAATTTTTATTTATTTTTGGTAGAGATTTTACGGCACTCACAACTAAATAAGATCATATGAACGCCAAAAGATTAGAAGTGTTACAAGGGAGTAACAAACATAAAAAAGAAGAAGGGGAGATAAAGACGATAGATATTTGATAGGAAAGAAGGAGCAAGCCACACCAGAGCACCTGCCAACCACCCACATTTGTACTTTCATGATGACCCATCGAAGTTCGAACACAGTCTACACCGCAGCAGTGAGTGTGTTGAGAACCACAAAGAATGCAGGTGATGAGGACCCACACACACAAAGAGGAAGGCTGGCAGAGATATTCACACAGCCACGCGCGTGGACGTAGGATCTAGCGTGGGGCAAAGTTACACACAGGCTTTCATTTCATGCTTTTTAAAATTGATTTTTTGTACTCTGTTATTACCAGGATAAATTTTTTTAAAAAATACTTTAAACAAATTCTTAAAAATTACCATGGCGGGTAATAATGAGAGCTCACACGTTTGCGACACCAAGACTTATGAACAAAGGGAAATTTTCTACATGAAAATCTCTGGATTATGTCTACTTCGCACTCAAGCACGCTTATGCTTTCTCCCGATTACCATGCTTAGAGCCGGCATGGACTGTACTAAGAAAAAGTCACTCAATTCATGAAATCTAAAATGTGTCACAATGTGGTGAAATTAGGCTCTCGTCAATTTTGGGGCATATGCGTTATTGTTAAAACCTGCTCATTTGCCTTGCTTTTGATTTTTAAAATACTCATTTGCCTTTAAATTGATTGGTTGCCTGGTGTGAGGGGTATATTATGAATTAGAGAGAAAATTGCCTCCAAAATTTGGTGATTTCCAAAGCTGTAGTGCACTTGAAAACTGCAAATGTTCTTCTTTTTTTTGTGCCTTTGAACAATGTTTTTCAGTAAAATACATGCAAGAATGTATTTTCAAATAGACACAAAAGGTGTATAGGCACTATTCTAGTCAATCATGAAGAAGAGCAGATTAAAAGAGCAGTTCTGACAGTTTAAACAAGTGAATTTGACTGTATAACTGGAAAAAAAAATGTCCCCTCCCAGCTCCATTATGCCAAGGAACATCTGGTGCCAATGATCAGGATAAGAGGGGACAAGAAGAATCTGCCGTTGCCTCCTCTGAGCCTCAGGGAGAAGGAGACAGGGTGGAGCAAATGGAGACGTCTTCTGAATCTGAAACACAAAATGCGAAAAGCAGTGAGAGTAAATCTGGAGATGGGGAAGATGAGGAGGATCCTGAACTTGCAAGGTATGATGTTGGCAAGTTGTGTCTAACCGTAAATGTAATGTTACAAATGATTGCAAAAGATGCTCAGTCCTGAATCTAATAACCAGATATTTGTCTAGTCTTTTGAAGTAATTAAAACTTTTGTGTTTTGTCTCAATGTATTGTCTTAATTGTCAGTTCTTGAGTGACTACCTTCCTCAGATGATGAATAACTTTATATCATCATGATTTGGGTTCTGATTTTATTAAGTCTCATGCCCCTGAATTTCAGTTCCAATTGCCATGGTATTACAGTGGAATCCATTTATAACGAGTCCTGAAATAACTGAAAGTCTGTTATAAAGACACTATTCTAAAACCCCGTTTTTTGTCCCTTCTCTATCTTTGTATATCAAATACTGCTATACCGCAATCAGACGAACACGCGAGTCGGTTATAACGGAATATAGCTGAGGCTGTGCACAGCGCATATGCCATTTTTTCATATGCAAAACTTCGCCAGTTGAGAAACTTGTTGGTTATCTTGCGAAACAAAGAATGGGAGAGCCCACATGTGCCAACAATGAAGGCTGGATCGAATGAGTGGGGAGTGTGTGGCATGCACAGACAAGCAGAACTCGTGGTTTGATAGGCCATCCTAGCCTAGATTATCTAGGCCAACCATGCCTCTCACTTCTCTGATGCAGAGATGGAGAGGTCATAGTCCTGCACTGTGATGGACGGAGCGAATGAGTGACGTGGGCGGAGTGTGGTATGTTCCCATTGTACGCAAGCAGACGGAACGCACCTCAGGGTGTGGTAGGGTGGGGGACAACACAGCGGGTGAGTTAGCCTAGAGAACTTTCTGATGGCCAATGCCAAGCTGTCAACATCGCTAGCGCTATAGAAAGAAACCTTATTCGACTTTTGACTTAAAGGTCATGTTGAACCAAATCATCAGCAGGGGAGATTACAAAAAGAAATAAACCGTAAACCAGACTCATAGATTAGGCCTACTTTACTATTTCCCTTGAATTTATTACTGGATCCCTTATACAGAGAATCTTGCTATAACGGACATTTGGCACTGAACTGCAACAGTGAACTGCTGCTTTTTCTTTCCTAATCTTACTATCGTCATTTTCCTGTACTTGTTTTGTATGTTGTCACACTCTTGTGACCCACTTTTTCCGGGGTGCCTTGATAGTTGAAGCTGACTTTGTGCTTTTGAAGCTAGAGAGGTGAGCAGAGTAAGCCTGATTCCCTGTAAGGACTTCTCTGTTGACATTTACCCCTTGGCGCTCATATGACCTTTGCCTTATGCAGTTGCAAGCGCCGTAAAAACTCTACTAAAACAAAACTTACTGGCGTCCACTTACAGCAAATTTTTATAACATAAATTGTCACTTAAATTGAAATCTATTACTCTGGTCGCAGTTATTGTCTTTTTTTGGTACTATTTGCTTCGAGACAAGATGATGTGAACGAATTGTGTATAGCTATCGCATCATTCATTTTCATGACCATAAATATATGTTAGAGTTTTTGGTTGGGTTTTTTAAAACTATAATATTCAAATGAATATTTCAGACAAAGAAGAGAACTTCAAGCCAATCCACTGACTTACAATGGTGCCGAAAGAGAAGCCTACTTCTGGTCTCAAAACATAACAGAGGTTGATGTCAGAGTGAAGGTGATTATAAGCACAGAAGCGTCCTTTGATTATGTTTTTTCATGATATATTGGGTACAGTGAGTTCAATTTTATGTATTGTGCAATTAACAGTAAGAAGTTTACACTATTGAAAACGCCAACTAACTCGGAAAAATATTACAGTGAAGTCACGGCAGTGTGCTCCTACAAATTTTTATACGCATATATGATTAAAAGTTAAATTAGAGATTTATGGAGATGGCGAGGACTTGTTATTTTTAATCATTTTAATAAACCGTCAGCAGTAATATTTTTTTTGTCTGTGCCCTGTAAACGTTTCCTTGAAAGTAGATCACATTTTCATTACAGTTTTGACATGTTTTGTGCTCTGTTTTTTTCCTGAGGAAGTTACTGTTATTTTCTTGTCACTTTGTAGTCTGGTCATTCTTTTTTATCTTTAGGTACCAAAGTCCATTGTAAAAGGCAAACAGATGAAAGTGGACATCAAGTCTAAGCATATCCATGTAGCACTGCAGGAGAGTGATGGAAGCTGGAGAGATCTTGTGAACAGTGAACTCTCGTGGGACGTTGACAAAGAAGAATCCATGTGGACCCTTAGTCCAGGAGAGTTTGTGCATGTAAGTTTTGCCAGTGATTACAGTAAGTAGGTCGCACAAACACGGCCTCGCTAGCAGTCGCGGCCTTCCGACCGCGTGGTATCGGTGAAATCAGGGTAATATCCGATCGCTGTTTCTTTGCTTTTTCGCTATAAAACACCAAATGCTGTACACTTTGTAAAAGTTCAGTTTTTCCACGTTACAATGGTGTAAGTTGTTTATATGTCCGATTATTAGGAGCTGGAGAATCGCCGACGAAAGCGAAGCCCCTCGCGTTCGGAATTCGTGGTCAGCCAGTTAAAAAATTGACATGTGTGCATTCAAATGCTTCGCGGAAAGAGGGATGATTAAATACCGTCTTTTCATTGGCGGAGAACTGTAGAGCTTTGAACGGGCTTTCCCATGGTATATTTTGGGCCTTTGGCGTTTAAATACAAAGCCTTTAAAAATACCGTCAAAATTTTCAAAGATCATTTTTTACACGAAATATGTAAAATACTGGCTCAAAAAAGGTACCAACAAAAAGATCAATTCATTTTCTATTAGAATAAAGTAATCAGCTTAGAATTATTTTTTCATCAATCCTTCCGCGAAACTCGGAAACTTGGAAAGCATGTGGCCCACTCGCTCGCCGCGGGGGCGGCGCCAGCGGGTCAACACTCAGTGTTATTGTCAAAATAACGACAGATCATCGTGTTTGAGGTGATAAAATACTGATTTGTAATGATCTCAGTCTTGAAAAAAATTAGGCTCCATATATAATATGTTATAGTGATTGTATTCTGTTAGTGTGGTGATGTTTAGTGCACTTGGTACTCTTTTATTATCTGTCAAACTTGGGGTTGCAGCCAGTGACTGACTTTAACAAATTTGATCAAAGTTTAAACAACTACCATTTTCTTAAAAATTGACTTAGAGGTTAAAGAATGGTACCAAAATGCTCAGTGGATATAGGCCTTTCAAATGGAACAGATAAATTTGGCATACAGCTACTTTGAAAATTTAGTTTCTGGTACCTACTAGTTTATCTTCTCACAACACCCAACAACTTGGGGCAAAAAAAAAATACACTTCAGTGTGGAGTACAGGAGAGCAGTTCACTCCCCTTCTTCATGAATACCCAGGCTGAGTAGAAAGTCTTGGATTACTGTGCATAACATCACAGCCCTGTGGTCGAGTATCGGCTCACTTGAAATAACAAGCTCAAGCTCTGGGTATGGTGGAAACTCAGCCACTATGCTGCCTATATTTTCACTTTCCAGTGTAACGACTTCCCCACATCTTGTGTTTAGGACTTAACATTTGCACATGTGTGTGAAGGGAGTAGGTGGGTCCAGACTAAATCTACCCCATTCGGAAATTTCATTTAGCCGCAACCTCTGCCGATGAGCAACGAAAGGCTGTGTTGCTGCTGCTGGATTGGACACTCTTTGAAAAAAAATTTTAAACCCCGGACAAGCACAGTAGAATTCTCAAGGAACAAGAGGCAGGGATAGGGCATGGGAGATGTGGAAACTTTATATGGAGAAGGATGTGTTGAAGATTGGACACAACGAAAGTCAATTGGGAAAGCTTGCCAAGACAAAAAAGTATGAAAATCATTTTTCAGTGGCCTAATCCCTCCCAAAGTGATAAGACATTAATGATGAGCAGATGGTTCCTGGATGTCATGTACAGATATGTCCTCATCGAAGCTCAGAGGAATAGCTGATTTTTACTGAATGAACACCTCAGGAAAAGTCGCTAGCAATGGGTTTCATTTGTACTTTTTCTTAGTTAGGCAAGGTTCTTTTTCGAGTTTTCAACGATGCGCTTCTTGTCGGTATGCTGATATCATAAGGGCATGATTTTAAACTTTCTGTCTGCCATATTTTCATTAATTTTTTCAAAATTCATCTTTTCAGATTAACTTGGAGAAAAAGCAAGAGAGGTGGTGGGAAAATGTCTTTACTGATGAGCCAAAAATCAATACCAAGAAAATAGATTGCAGTCGGCCAATGACGGACCTTGATGATGAGGCTCAAGCCAAAATTGAAGAAATGATGTTCAATCAGAGACAGAAACAACTAGGACTGCCCCAGTCACATGAAGTGGTATGTATTGTAGAGAAAGTTAGCTCTCATATGGCACGTTTTGAGAAGGATTAGGTCAAACTGGATGTAAAAGATGATTATGATTCATTCTTTTCAGAAAAACCATGCTGCATTTTCTACCTAATTTTATAGTTTTTCGTATTTTCATCATCACTTTTGATGTGCTCACTTTTTTATGGCTCTTCTGAAACTGAGTTGTAGTGTGGAAAGTAATCAAGTAAACAGCTGCACCTTCCCTTTTACGCTTTGTCCCCATGGGACGCAGATCGGCGACAGTAAGAAGTCATCCCTTTCCCTCACGGGATGCCAATCGGCCACAGTGTGCTATTGCAGCATAAATGGTGTAGCAATTATCTCCTTTTAGACATGCGCACTTGTTAAAGTTATAATTTCCTTTCTGAATGGTTTGTTTGGCCTTTGGGGTAAAAAATCAGTTTGTTTACAACCATTGGAGTAAGTAATAAATTTTTCTGTCATGTAGACCTAGCATGAGCGCTGCTTTACACTTATGCCATGATGAGAATGCGGGTGATGATTGTGCTTTATCTAATGTTTTTAGTTCCGATTCTAATTCTCTTTTTGGTGAACATACAATCATCATGTTCTCTTTTCTCAATATGCTGAAAATTTCATAATGGTTTGTGTATTTTTGCCACAGTTATTACACTCATGTAGCCCGTCCTGGTACGTGTGGAGAAAGGTTGTTCTCTCTGCCCATTGCGTTGGTGGAAAGTGAACCTCATTCTCTGTCATGAAAGCACCCATGTTATCAGGATTTAACTGTATGTCATACAGTAGTCTCCGCTTAAACTTAAACGTACGGTGCTCGGGAGGGCTCCTTAGCGTATGTTTATACGGAGTGTGCGTTTGCATGAACCTGTGCGAAAGGAGAAAGAGACGCACTCTTCTCATTTCCTTGATATTTTAGTGACAAAAGCATGCGTTTGAGCTGAGCATGAGAGCGTACTTTTGTATGGCGTACATTTCGGCGAAGATTACTGTATGTATCTCTTCAAATCATGGCTTCAGTTTGGAAGGTTTGCTTTCTCATTGCTAAATTCCTGTGCAGTGTCACAGTAGGGTTGTTTTTTTCTTATGCTTATTTACTCATGTTTTTCCTAAATTTAATCACACATGATGCTTTGTCTTGTTTCCTCAGAAAACTCATGAGATGCTAAGGAAAGCGTGGGATGCAGAGGGATCACCCTTCAAAGGACAACCTTTTGATCCCAGTAGATTTAGTGTGGACCCAAGCGGAGTAGTTAATTTTAACCAGCAGACATAATTACATGGGCCTGTTTATGGTTGTATGATTGCATGCTCACTTCAGACATTCAGTTCACAAACATTATTATGTACATGTATTAATGATAAGATGAATGCATGATTTTGACTGTATTAGCAGTTATGCAGGGCACGAATGTATATAATTAAATATTCACATGTTTATTTTATTGGTTTCCATATGTGAACTTTGCACAGTCAAATAAATTTTGATTTTGAATTGTATTCTTGTTTCCTTTATTCTTCTAATCCTTATTTGTGCTCAATGTTTTTTCGAAAGTTAGTTGCTTCATCGAGTCTGAGAATTGCTTGCAAACCCTTCGAAATCTGTAATATTCTAAAGAAATTTTGGCTTTTAACTTTTACGTCTATTTCGGATAGAACTTCAGAAAAGCCTCTGTGCTTAGTCATGTGATTGCTTAGGCTCAATGGCTGCTGAATTTATACTGTACTGTCTGTCAAAACAACACAATGCTTTGGTCAGAGAACTGCCTTAAGTGGATGGTTTTCGGTTGTAAAGTTGTTGCGGGCTTATTGGGGGGTGTGGGGGTGTAATCACCACGAATAAGTTTGATTTTCTGTAGCTTTTCTTTTTTTCTTCTAGTATGTGCCAGGTGCCTGGTTTCTTTTGCAACTCCATAGAGAACGATGGTTGTAGTTCTGAAAATAGTTTTTCCTCTTGTCACTTTTCTACTACATGAGTGAAGTTTCTTGGATGGCAAGCTTCCAGAAACTCCAGATGCAAAACCATATGACGTCTATTTTTTAGAACAGTCAATTTATACTAAATCAGTCTCGGTTATAACAACATTTCGGCTATATTATTATATAATGTATTATATTTTTCAAACCCTGTTATATGGCTTTTGGGACGAGAGAAAGTTGGCAGTACAAGTACAGCGGGGCTGGCGGTACAACGGAGTTTTCCATGTCCTCAATTACGTGAACTTCCGATTGCCCAATGTCAAGGGAACTTCTTTACCAATCACAAGATGAATTAATGCATTATCTCCCTTCGATATGTCACTTAGACTTGGTTGTGAGTACTCACTAATTTATTAAAAGCCCCTTTGGCATTCGCCTGTATTGGAAGTTAAAGTTAAAGGCCTGATATTTGGCCGCGGGGCCAAGTTGGCTATATATAATACTAGGTTCCCTTTTAAATTTCTCCAGGCGACTTTAAAATTTAATGACTTAAAAACCCAAAAAAAAACACGTTTATTGTGGATATATTGACTTGACAAAGGCCTAAAAATAATACATTGTATCACTTTCAACTTCCGTTATCAGCGCATCAAATTTAGATGAGCAAAATTTGATGATGAATACCAATGTTATGTTTTATTTTGATTGTGCTCTTCTGCATTACACATTGTATTGTGTTCCCTTGCAAATCGCCGAAAAGCGTTTGATCTAGGCCTGGCTTGTGTGTGTAAGTAAAGACTGTCAAGCAATCACCAAGCAGACGTGCCGTGTGCCATCTGTAGCATAGAGTGTAGGCTACTGTGTACTTCTGGCAGCCAGTTCGCTGGCGGTACAACGGGCCCGCGGGGTAAATTTAGAGTAAATTGACCAAGACCATACACCTGAGAAAGTTGGTGGATTTTTGGATAACAGTGAAAAGGAGCAAAAGCTATGTTTATATAGCGAACTCTTTTCATATTTTGGCAAAACCTGGCGGTACTCTACAGGGGTGGTACAACTTGGTTTGACTGTATATTATATTATATTATATTATACATGTATTAAATTATATAATGTTATATTACATTTTATTATATATATATAGGAATCTAGATCCCCGAGTTCGATCTCGTAATCAGTGGCGGAGGCCATTGGTGCAAGCGCTCCACCTAACCCTGGTCTTCAGACACACACACACCCCCCCCCCCCCTTTTTTTTTCTAATTGTTCTAAACCTGTCAATGCTCTAAACATCTACATTAGGCCTACTACTACTACATCCTTACGATCTGTCACCCGCTGGCTGCGCCAGTGAAGAAACAGACGGCTCGTCGCACCGCTTGCGGTTGTGGCTGCTGGCAGCAAGCAAAATCTTTGCACCAAAGTTATTTTTGTCACTGTAGAGAAATCTAGGCATCGTTCTTCCGCACAAGAAGGAAGGTGCATGAAAATGAAACTGCTCTTCGCAGCACCAATTTGGTGCAAGCTAAAAATTTGATCCAAGTTTCCGCTAGCCTATCTACTACACTATAGAGTATAGAGTCTACAGTAACTCAAGGAAGAATGGGTATCGAAACTTGTCTCCCTTTGGCTTTATTGTGTAGCAAGTTCTGGTGCTGCACGAAATAATCAAAAATCTTTAAATCTTCTCAGATTGTGAGCATAGTGAGTTGTTACAGTCCATGCCGGCTTTAAGCACGGTCGTCGGGAGAAAGCTTAGGCGTGCGTGCTTGAGTGCGAAGTAGACATAATCCAGAGATTTTCATGTAGAAAATTCCCCGTGCTATTTCCCTTTGTTTGTAAGTACATGTAGACCTATAGCGGTCCCGAAAAAGTGTGCACTGTTATTTAGACACCCGCCTTGGTAGTTTTTGTTCGCTTGTTTGTTTTGTTGTGTGGTAGAATGGGAAATGATAACTTAATTTAGACGGCCAGTCACGATACAGCACACTAGGCCTACACACTGCCTGTGCGTGCCACTGCCCGCTGTGCCACTCATACCACCGCCTTCATCCCACCTCGCGCGTGATACACAATCAGGATTACTGGATAGCGAGGATCAAAGGTGAAATCGCAGCCAACCTCCCTTTCTCGTCTCCCCGACTCTCTTTGTATTTTTTTTTTTTTTTTGTAGTCGTGTGTAGTGTGTAGCTTTGCCCTAGGCTAGATCCTATGTCCGCGCGCGCGGCTGTGTGCATCTGCACTCCTCTCTGCCCGTGTGAGTGTGTGTGTCCATCACTTGCGTTCTTCGTTTTTCTCTTGACACATTCCACTGCTGCGGTGTAGACTGTGTTCGAACTTCGACGGGTCATCATGAAAATATTGACTGTCTTGTAAATGAAGCGTGCTTGAAGCCGAAGTTACCGTGCTTAAAGGCGTGTAATTTATATCGCAAAAATTCGGTAAGAGCCTTTTAGCGTGCTTGAGTCCGAAACGTGCTTTAACGCCGGCGTGCTTAAAGCCGGCACGAACTGTATAAAAATTTGTGAAAGACTTTAAATCTTAGGCTAGGAGGCTAATCTAGACATGGATCGATTCGTCCAGAAAACACCTAAAGGGGCTGTTTAAAAAATATCATCTTGCGCCTCTAAAAAAAAAAAAGGGGGGGGGGGTAGTCTTTGACTCCTGTAAAAGTAAAGTGTAAGATGGGAGGGGGGGGGGGTTGAACCAATGTAAGATTACATTTTTGTAAGGTGAAAAAATAATGAAGGAAAATATAATATATGACAAAGAGTAACCACACTCTTCACTTAGAGTAAGTTCGAGCTGTAAGCACGGCATTGTGGCGGCAAGCACGATAAAATAATGTCATCTCGCACTTTATACTCTGGTACTGGTAGATATCTGGGCTACATGACATGTAGATCTAGTCTAATTTTTATTACACCGGTGCGGTTAAAGTGGTAAAATGACAAAGTACGTTTTTCTGGAAAAGCTCCGCTTTAAGCGTATTTAATTATTATGTCACATGTGTGTAGATCTATTCATGTTTTTCATGAATACTATACTATAATCAATCATTTAAAAGTAAAGCGCATAGAAGAGTGATAGTAACTCTGATTTGCGCAATATAAATGTCATATATGAATGTTATAAGCAAATAACGTAATATTACGAGGTTTCGGGGGGGGGGGGGGCAGGAAAGTTTTTAAAAAGTGTAAGATTATATTTGAACAGCCCCAAAACCACGCTGGTCACACCTGCCCAACGTCAGCGAGAGTGTAAGGACCTGACGCATGTGTCAGGGACAAACTGTTTTTCTACACCATGCAACCCCCATGCAGTTTTATTTTTGGGGTAGACATTCACATTTAACTTCTGATTTTGATCTAACAAAGCTCACATTGGTTACTTTTGATTGCTATGAGCATAGCAACAATGTATTCCAATAGTTCCGTGGCATTGTTTTAGCTATACACGTACATGTCTTTAAAACTTTTCTTGCAACTTTTGTTAATTTTTCTTGCAACTTTTGCTATTTTCAAATGCAACTTTCTCTGAGGACAGTCAAAAGGTGACCTTGATTTAGTGGCATACTTTAAATAGTCACTGCTTTTTTTATATTGCATTTTCTGGCAAAGCATAGATGAATTAGCTGGAGAAATGGACAAAGAGATAGCCAGAGATAGCTTGTTGATTATAAACAGGTTTGAAATATTCTGTAAGAAAATGAAGTTTCGGTCGACTGCATATTTCGAGGTGCTATACACTATTTCAGACAGTGCCCTAACCAGAACCATCATAACTTAGACATATTTAAGCGTCTGCACACGAACATTTGCCTAATGGTTATTTAGACACTAAATTAGCTTCCCATAAACTTCAAAATCATCTCAGGGTTTTGTGTTTTAAGCAAAGACAGTCTGAAATATGGGTGTCCCATGTGACACACCTTGTCATCATCAGAGTCCTAGGTTTTTTAAAAATAATTTGTAAGTAAAATGAACAAGGGTATAGAGAATGTAAATGCCTTACTAAAAAAAAAGATATACTCAAGGAGTAATAATGTGTGAGTTTTATGACAGTCTTATCTCTGATGTTGAACCAATTCGCTCAGAGATTATTTGGGTCATTTCTGTCACATGGGACACCGAAGCCCATACTCCATCAAGATTTCTTTCGCTTTGGTCAAGTCCAATCTTTTTATTGAGAGGGAGCTCCCAATGGCCTGGAACACAGAGGTTTCCCTTTGTTCAAGATGACTGGAGACAGCGAGGATAAGACTAGTAAGAGTTTTCTTGAGGTCATCAAAAATTGATCTGTCACACGGGAAACTATTTTGTCACATGAGACACTGCATTATGTAGGGAAAAACCTACCATTGAAAACTTAGCTTTGCTCTTTGCTGTATAGTTTCTTTATTCCAGTCCATGTAATTTAGAGCTCATTTAAGACATCAATGTAAAACATGTATGAAAAAAAAAGCCCCAGAAATTGATGACATCATGGTGTTGTGGTCATGTGAAGCACGAGACACTTTTAAGCCTGATAAAGTAAAGCACAGCCCAGTAAACCCAATCTTTTATTTTTCAATAAAAATAA